GGCGTGTGGCACCGCATTCACATCAGTACGCATATCCATGAGTGTGTGGGGGGAGGGGGTGGTGGATAGCTCTCAATATGGTTGCTTCCGCATACTATGTATAGATAGATATACATGCTATCTACGGCTGGCAAGCACTCATACGTATACTGTGTAATTTACTTTACATGTGACATGTGTGTATATATAAGCATGTGTCCTTTTATAAACGATCGTACATGTGCATTTTGCTGCAGGCTGGTAAGATTTCGGAAAGATACTCCTGGCCCAAGCCAACACATAAAGAGATTGGTGACCTGAAGATGCTTGAGCAGCAGCCCGGAGAAGTTGCACAGGCATTTTCACACTATAGTTGTTACTTTTACACCAAAAGGCAACTCCTTCTAGTCGATTTGCAGGGGAAAGTTCTGCCAACTGGGCAGAGGCAAGTAATCAAGCTGACTGATCCAGCGATACATACTTTTGACGAAGTGAGGCGTCGTCAGTATGGTATCACCGACAAAGGTCAGGAAGGAATCAAACGGTTCTTCAAACATCACCAGTGCAATGCACTTTGCAAAGCTCTGGGTGTACCTTCCGCTCTCGAACAGAAGAGCTATCATACAGGACTAGATAATTTGATGGCTTACAAAGGCTCGAGGGCAGCCAAAGGTTCGGGCAAGAGCCGAGTGTGACTTTGGGCTTGCAGAAGCGGAACTATCAGGCTATACATCGCGCAGGAAAAGGGGATGTTGTGGCGGCAGCTTGTGCAGAGATCAATCTTGCACAAATGCTTGAAGTCTGAAACACTGAATGTGCTCCGGATGGATCGTTTGGTTTGGTGACTGAAACTTGCTTGAAACAGTACCAGGGCAAATGACCGAATTGTGGTCATTGGATGCACTTCCTGCCTCTCGAACTTTAGCCCCTGAGATGTCAAGAATCGTCCGAACGGTCGGAGAGCCTTCCTGCCTCGAGCGACGCACGGTTTGCGCCAGGTGTCCGAGCCTTTTGAGGATGCGAAGGTGGCCCTTCCAGGACGATCGATCCATGACACAGGTCTTGGGAACCTTGTGGAACGGCAAATGACTCAGGTCTTGGGACCTTAATCTCAGGTCTGACATGTTTCCATCAACTCATGTCTTGGGATGTAAGGCCCTGAGTTGAAATATGGTGAGTGGAGAGTTACGCCGTGGAAGATTGAACTTCAAAAGCCAGTGGATGGAGGAAGCTAGGTCCAATTTCAGGTTCCATGTAATCTTCCCAGGTGTAGAAGTTGATACTGCATGCTTTGATCCATTTGGTCCGGTAGGGTGTGCTGAAGGCCATGATCCAATTTGTCTCTTTCCACTGGCCACGCTTTCCTCCAACCACAGGCAGGAATGGCCACCAGATCCAACCCCAGCGCTGCCACGTGTCTGCAACCCACAGCCCTTGGTGGGCCCACAGCCTGTGCTCCGACACCTGCAGCAGGAGCCTTTGTCAAGTGGATGCATGCGGATGCCGGAAGTGAAAAGGTTACCCGCGGGTGCTGGAGATTGGTCTCGCGTTGGAGTCGCTGTGGTCCAAGGGGTGCTCATCCCACAGGTCAAGTACAGGTTGCACAAAACGGCCGGCCGATGCAAATAGGCCATAGACAACCAACAACAGTCGGGCTGAGTTAAGCACTGAGTTGCTCAAGGTGGAGGCTGTTTCTGTTGGTCGTCAGTCTTCATGCCAATGAACTTCCCCCTTATGCTAAAGGAAGGGGGCAATTTCTCCTGCGATTGCATCGTTTTGGGGTTAAACCATTGAGGCCACAGGCCATTGGTGGGAAATTGGGGGAAGCACGGCCTGTTCATTAGGAGATGGCCCAGCCATCCCGTGCGCTGTTTGAGTGTTCCTTTGTGAGCACTGTCATGGCCCGACCGGCGGCTTGTCATGGCTCGCAGCCAAGGCATCATGGACACAAAGTGACACCAAGCAATATCAATTCAGGAAGCAAGATATGGCAGGCATCCATCCAGAAGATGACTGTTGCCACTCGAAGCGGAAGAATCTTAGACGGCTACCAACCATAACATCAATCAACGTCTAGCGTACTTACTGAGATTTGTTTGGCTATGGACCACGCATTGCCGAAATAACGTCAAGCTTGAAGACAGCAAGCTCCTTGGCAACAAGTATAGTTTTCCCTTCTGGCCTAGAAGCCATGAGCCAAGTCCAAAACGAGTCCGCGAAGCGGCGAAAGACAGCCCATCCAACTGCCCCAGAAAAGTTCAAGCCCGAGTATTTCCACCTGTCAAGACATCGAACTGGGCAGCCAAACAATCTTTGGTCCCCAGGTCGCACGCTCGAATTCTGTGTTGTTTGTTATTAGCCGGATGAGTTTAACCTTGCTCGAACTCACTACTAGTAGTGGTGCTAAAACAGCCTTTCGACAGGTGTGCATGTGTCAAATTTGCGGGCAATGGCAGGCACTTGCAGATAGAAAACCATTGGTTCGGGGGCCTCCCATCCTTCTAGTGGCCCCCATTCTTTCTGGGCGCATTCTCCAAAGCATGAGACATGGCCCTGCTGACGCAAGCCCGCGCATTGGCCCGGCACGCCTCGCACGCTGCGTGGCGGCCTGCTGGCTGCTTTGTACGGCTGGGGCGGCGAAAATCGATGAAGGGCCAGAGCTGGTCAGTGATCAGGTGGTCTTCCGACTGCATTTGGAGCTGTTTAGAGGAGAGAGACTGGGATATGATGGGCGATGCAAGTCAAAGGGACGGAGGTGTGCAAATTCTAGGTGGGCACCTCAAAGTGAGGAGGTGGCTAGCCTTTGACCCTTCTTGGGATAGGTTACCTATATAGACATGTCATGTCTATATACTGAAAATCAACCAGCAGAAAGAGGTGAACGCTTCACCATGATTCAGCGTTCTTTCTCCTAGGGAAACCGATGGGGTCAGATGCCCTTTCGCCAGACAGGTTTTTGAGCTTGTTGAATCGGAAGGTGAGCTGTGAAAATGATATCCGCCCAGAATGGTTCTTCCTGTGGCCCACTCGAGGGCCACAGGAAAGCCCCAGAAGCTAGCCAGGGTAGAGATGGTTTTTGAGAAATCTTTGAGAATCGAAAGGCTAGGGAGAAAGTGGCGAAGATGCTTGAGGAATCATGAGACATCCCCATATGGAAAGTAAGGAATGGTGTGCTGCTTAGGTCCAGGAAGCTGCTTTAGAGGCGAAGTTTCACGACTTCAAGGACGGGCGACAGAAACGGGCGGCGAGTTGTACTGAGAGGGCGGCAGCGTATCCATTCTATTGCTGTGGAGAAGAGGTGGGAAAGGCACAGTCAGCTGGTTAAAGGGTGTTTTCTCACCAGAGTTGTGACACAGAGAGCCCGCCAATTCGGCGGTCTTGCCCAAGTCCCGCTCATCAAGGCACCAGCTCGGCTAAGGGGGCTGACAGCAGTCAGCACAAGCATGCCAAGTATGCATGCATTGGTTTTCTTTGCTTGGCCATAGAACCGACGGACGTGCACTGAAGAATTATCCCAATGTGTTTGCTTGAAAGATGCTTTCAGAAATGCATATGATGCCATTAAGCATGTGCGGCATTTCTTAAATGTATCCATTGCCAGTTTCAACCTTTTTCCTTTTTCTATGGGAGGATCGGTACGGTGTCTATGATTTGAGAACGCTCGATGTTTTCTTCGAGCTCTTTGATATTTGGATCATGCTCTACCGCCACTTGCCCAAGGGAAAAGCTGCTGTCACATCCAGTGCTGGATTTGTTTCAGCGTTCAGCCTAGCGAGTCTGGGGCTTGATCTTGGAATCCTCACCGGGATTTGAGAACGCTCATGCCAGATCAGGTCTCAACAAGATTGACCAGGCCCTGGTGGAAGTCTTGCCAGCAGTGAGGTGGCGCCAGGATGAGTATGCCATCAGGGGCCTCCAGGCCTGGGCTGATCTCATTTGCCCATCCCTAACAATCCAAGGTCAGTACTCAGTTTGGGAATGGTTGATTTCCCTTCTAAACCACTTGTTGTCACGCCTTTGTTGGCTGGTTGCATGTCTAAGACTAAGAACGACCACGGTCCAGAAGGACTGGGCATTGTAGTGTGTCTGTCCTCCACGTCCAAGAAGGTGTGGAAGCGGTGGGTGTTGGCCGCTCAACCATCGGATTCCTCCTGTTTGTTTGATGCGTTTATTCAGTATGTTCTTTGATCAATTTTTTTGGATCCAAGTGCATGAGAAGGTACTTGGAGCCTTTGCTCACCCCCCACGCCAATCCCAAAGCATCTGAATTTGGCTTTGCAGGGCAGTGGATCTCAACACGGAAGAATGACCACGATATGGCACCAGGATAATCAGATACGTCCAGATGTCATTGGGAAGGCCATCACCAGACTTTTCCACCACTTCGGGCAGATGGGGCGCCGCCTTCGCAGGCCTTGGCCTTTACCCGGTGGAAACAGAATCGACACCGGGAGGCTCTGGCCCGGTTTCATGAGATGGAACCTTGGAAGCATTTTCTTGGGAGTGTGAAGGGGGGCCCATTGGCATCCCACTGATCCAGTGGATGTCCATCACTGGAAGCATTTTCCTTGGAAGCACGTGTGACACCCTCGACTTTTGGGAGGTGCGGACCCTTCGCACGGTGACCCAAATCAACCGGTGACTGACAATTCATCAGGTTTCATCCAAGCAAGAGATGCAAGGCACAGGGCGGCACATGCGGCACATGTTGGTCACCGGGACCTGAGTCTTCTGTGCCGCTTTGAGTGTTTTTCAACTGGAAACGTTCCTGGACATAGCAAATCTCAGAATGATGAGCCTCCAACTGTACCGAGGGCACAAGCTCATCAGACGGTTTCGGGACTATTCTGTTGGGCAGACTGACGTATGACTGGCCCACGGGAGATGTGTTTCATCAGAGTATAGCAAGTAGACTGCCCCCACACCCAGAACCTACATGAAGTGCACAAAAGACATGAGAGAGTATAGTTATATAAGGCTCAACATATCATGTGGATTCCTCTTAAGGGTCTGTCCCAATACCTGTAACAGTCAGTAATAAGTGATCACATTATTTTAAGAGAAAGGCCTGCAACATAACCATCATCATCATCCACTGTTACTGGTGATGGGATATACAGCACCCAAAGTATATATGCTTTCTACCTGGACCATCCTGGGTGTCTCTGGAGATCCCTACAGACTGTGGGCTAGTCCGGTGCACCGGTGTCCGATCGCAAGCTCTATTGGTTGATTTGGCAGGTCAGAAACGGACCTCATTTTACTGGAGTTCGTAGAACAAACACTACTTCAAGGAGGGACACGATCTGGTTTTACTGGATCTTTGGACTTGTATAGGTATATTATGGTATATTATTCATTGGGGTGGCACAACTAATCTGAACATCTCTGGGCTGACGTTCTACAAGTGGATCGTGATCCGGTCGGAGGCCTTCCTGACATGTCGAAGAAGAGTCACATCGAAGATCGAACTCAGCAGACTTCAGGAGGGATGGGTTGGCAAGAGTGCTCCCTTGTGCGAGAACATCGGCCACACCTACAATGCGCTGCTGAGATTTAAAAAAGATATCAACAGCCTGAGAGTGAGCATTCACGGGAAGAGGACCATAGAGGACCCAATTTTTCAGTGCTTGAAGCTTTGTGTTCTTAGGTTGGCAAGGTCTAGCAGCGCAAAGGAAGGTTGAAGAACTCCCGTTCTTCCAGTCCAGGCTTGGGATGCCGAAGGAAGCGGAGCACTACTTCAACCAAAGCCTTTTCTACATGACACCTGGGATCCATTTAGCTGAGCTTGTGCATATATAAATCCACTGAGTTTGTGTTGGCGTGTCAGGAGATGTTTTCTGTGTTCCAGAAGTGTTCTGCGATCGCAAGGAATGCTCCAGATTCCAACATGTCCAGCGATCAGCAAGGTCTTTTGACTCGATACGCTTGGAGGGGAGGGGTGGGACCCCTGAGGGACTAATCTCCATTGTGATTTTTGTTGTCAATTTGCTGAAGTGAGCGAAGACTTTGCTGGTTCTCTGGATTTTTGGCTGAAGAGACGTGCTTTTTGCTTGTGAACTCAACCGATCACTGGCCTCAACATCGGTTCGACAAGAAGTTGGGTCACTGCTTTTCAGTCACGGCTGAAGGCATGGGTGCATGTAGTCGCAGACATCGCAATGGCACCGACCCCCCTTTTTCTCCTGCTCGCGTGTAACTTGTTCGTCAGATCACCTCATCGAGCCATGCGCTTTGGTGATAAGAATAGAATCAAAAGAACTAAAAGCCCGGAACGAAAAAAGAACAGCCGTAGCTTTCACCACATCACCATAGTGTTTTTTCACCAGATGGCAGCTTGGGGAGCCTTCGGTTAAAGTCCACTCTCCGGGTACGGGTCTAGTGGCTTCAGGCGGCTCCTTGTTGGGCCTTGCCGGGGTTCGTGAGAAGCAGCAGCTCTGGGCTGAAGCGCGGCAGGCGGCACAGGAGGCGCGCGCGCGGATGGTCCGAAGGTGGCGCTTGGTGTTTTGCAGGAGTAGTGACGGCGAACAAAGACCTTGAACACGAGAATGTAACCACGAGGCCTGAAGAGGCTTTATGATCTACCTTAGGATACTGCTGGAGGGCATTTGTGGCTGGAATGTGACAGGCCTATGACATCTACAAGGCAAGGGATGTGCAGCGGGGCTGGGACTCCTCATTAACCGCGAAGGCAGCCATGGCGGTCAGCTGCTTGTTTCGAGGACGAGGGAAGGACACAATGGACGAGTGATGATTCGGTGAAAGGAATGGGGCCACGGGAGACAAGTTGAGTGGGTTTCGATTCTGAGGAATTGGCGGGATGATGCATTGAAACGCTTTCCCGGATGAACTCGACCATCTCCATTGAAGTACTGGGAATGCCGGGCTGCCAAGATTCCAATCCAAACCAATGAGGAATCTTTAGGATATTAATTATATTAATTTAGGAATTGAACTTTTTTCTAACATGAATTTGTTGGTACAGCCATGAATTTGCTGGTATATAGAGTTTCCTTGTGGTGAGCAACTGTGACAACTGTCGAGAAACCTGAACCTTTCGCTTGGTGGATGATATAAAGAATTGCTCTATGTTGCCCGATGCATGCCCAACGAGCAGGTGACATCAAAAGGACACCGGCCTTCAAATGGAACCGAGTTGTTACACATCCCATCCCTTCTCGACCTCGTTAGTAGATGCCACCACTGAAGATCTGGCCCCGCGACGATCCCAGGCAAGATGGATCTGAAACTGGGGAATTTGGAGCAGGCCTTGGCCAAAGCCGAGGTGTGGCCTCACCATGGAGAGGGAGAGGGAGAGATTGTGAGATGGGCAGACCCACCCCAGAACCTAGATCGATCCTGACATGGACGTTTTCCCAGGAGCAGGTCAGAGTGTTGGAAGCGAATGGTTCATCCCAGCACCCGGCTCGATGGTCTTCCGGCCATGGATCTCAAAGTCGCAGGTGGTGACCTGTTGGATGGTGCTGTTTCTGCATGTTCTGCCCGCGCGCCGGGGGGACTAAACTGGCAATGGACTGCCTTTGTATCGCAGATCTGCTCCGGACTCCCCCACCTGATGGTTCACGAGCAACTTTGGCAACGTTGAAAGTCATTGCAGGAGGCCTTGCGGCTCTTCGAACTGACCAGTGGCAGCCAAAGCCCTTTGATGTCCACAGCCTATCGCCGCATGGGTGAGATCTACATGAAGAAGGTGCCGCTGTGGGCTGTGCCCGCGATGTTTTTTGTCCGCTGTTCCTTTGGATTCTGGACGGGCAGATTGATTTCGAACGGAGGAAACGCAAGCTCCGAAAGTTACAAGCAAACAGATGGAAAAAGAACAGCATGATCACAACAACGTCATCAAAGTGAGTGAATCTCGTAAAGCAGTTTTTAGGCCAAGACTATATACATTTGAGGCTGTCAGTTTTAAGATGTTTAAAGCATGTACGCATAATGTTGACGATGCTACTGGAGCAAGATAGCACTTTCAGCATCACGTTCAGATCGTGTCTTACAGCTTTTTGTTTTGCTGCTCCCTGAAGGGTTTGTACGTGGAAGCACGACAAGCCTTTCACAAGGCCTACAAACTGGAGGCGGGCAGCTATGCTCCGAGTCATGAACATGGAAGAGGTAGAGAAAGATTGTTGTCAAAGGAGCCTATTTTCTATATTCTTTTAATTGACGATTGAGAGTCATTTGGGGTGGAGGAAAGGAGGTTGCAAATGCCGAGTGCCAGCTGCCCACCACATCCGCGGCAACCAGCTGTTTGTTTGGCATTCTGCAGCATTCCCAATCAACTGCAGGGAATAGAGACAAAGGAAAGCAACTCAATTCCGATGGCTATTTATGTTGTTTGGGGTCGCGCAATTGCTTGCTTGGGGCACTTCAGGCTGTGAAGGATGCCTTTGATTTGACGGAGATCGTTCCTTGGCAATTGAGTGTCGTGTTGTTGGAGTTGTTAACAGATCCAACTGCCGATTTACTGTCCCTATGGATCCACCCACATACCTTCCGAGAAGGTGATTGGAGACTATTTATGTAGGCTTGGAGGGTCCAATTGCCTTCTGAGAAGGTATGTGGATCCATAGGGTGTATTGATTGGTGTTGACCCAATAAACAATAGCAAACACACAGTTCTTAGATGTTCGCATGCGGATCAGCCATTCTTTGAAGGGTCGACCGGAAGAGTGGATTCTTAGGCTTCTTGTATTGGGCACTCTTGTGGGTTGTTTCGGCAAGGCTTTACTGTATAACTTTTGAAGCTGTTCTTCAGTGGCATTGGTACACGTTATAAATCCTCTTACTAGCTTTGTTCTTGAAGGGTTGGTTCCTCATTCAGCAGATTGGCTATGCTACTATGCTTACCGCTCTTGAACGCAATGAGCTGCCAGTCACTTTTTGCATCGATTTTGGTGGGTTTAATCCTGCCGTTGAACATTATGTTGCATTGTATTTGGTCTTGTTTCGCAGGAAAATGATACAATGCCGGATGAATACGTTCTATTTGAATAGGACATGCCGGATCCCCAAACTAACCATGCATGCCGCAATTCTTCAGGACCATTGATAAGTATTGATGTATACCCGCAACCTCCAATAAGTCACTGCCTGCGACTGTTGAGGGGAAACCTGTGAAGTCCGTGCGCTACGAATCTTCTCAGTGTTCTCATAATGTTACATGTTTTTGCGGGAGGAGTGCCTTCAGGCCACAAAGTCTGGCATAGTGAGTGGAGCAGGGGAGAAACCCCTGCCAGGGTTTGCACCACCAGGTGAAAAATCCCGAGCAGCTTTTGAAAAACACTGCCTAATAGAAAACGCTTTCTAAAAGGGGCCCTCGTGCTTTTTTGAAATAGGTGGAAGGGATTAGTCTCTGAAAACCTCAGTAAAGCCCTAAGAAGTGACTAAGACGGCCACAGTGGCTTCTTTGGTGTTCTTCTTTGGTCACCAGAGGTGACTGGAATCCAAAGCAGGGCCCGGCTTTGACCAGACAGGGCTGGGTCCGTGGGGCGTTTCGTCCATCACCTCGGTCAAAGACTGTCTTGGGTTCCATCCGTTGAGCACCGTTCATGGGCCACCCACCCAGCAAAGCCAAACACCCGCATCTTGGGGCGCGAAATGAGTTCGACGCCCCAGTTCGATTGGGACATCTGCCAGGTGATTTTGCACCAGTCGCTCATGGACGCACACCTGGGTCGAGGACCTTTGCAACGCTCCGCCTTCAGGGTCTACTTCCGCACGGCTGCGCAGGTGCGAGTCGAATTGACGACCGGAGCGTCAGGTCCAGTTCACGCCCGGTGGACGCCCTAAACTTCGAGGTTTGGTCCAAGGTCCACAACTGGTGATGACTGAACCCACCAACTCTAGGTCCACTCTTTCGTAAAGACAAGGCCCACAGGGGTTTGAGTGAGCTTTCCGTTTACAAATGTTTCAGAGTAGATGACACAATCTCCAAAAGGTTGTTGATATGGATTCCCAATAACCCCTTATCCAGTCCCACCGAACCTCAGAAACCACTGCACTTGATGGGTTTTAAGGGTTTTTTTTCAGCGCAACGCGCCACGCAGAGACGACTTGGTATGTGAAGCACCTCTTCAGGTGCTCAAGCGCGTCAAAGAACTGAAACAAGATGGAGACTTGTCCTTATCCTGAGGGATGGTGGGCGCGGCAGAGGGTCCTGAGGTCCGGCAAGGCCGATGGCTAGACCACACATGATTAGCTAGACCACTTTGAAAACCATCCCAACCTATTGGTATTGTTTTCTGTGCATGGACGTTGTAGGAGTGTTTAATGAAATCGAAACAACATGCTTAACCAGATGTCCATGTGGAAAGCATATTTCCCTTCAAACATACTGGCGAACAGGATGTACCTATTCTATGGTTGGAGGCCAATCGCTACTAGGTTGGAGGCCATCGCTGTTAAGTTGGAGGCCATCGCTACTAAGTTCATCGCTATTGAGTTGGAAGCCATCACTACTAGGGTGAAGGCCATCGCTCTTAGATTCAAGTACAATCAAATAATACATAGTGGAGACGAGCTGGTTGCCTCCGAAGCCACCACAATCCCTCAAGTCTTTTGCATTCTGCGATGCTGAAGACCCGCATGAGTTCAGGAAATGCGGGAGCTTACTACAAGTTGGCTGGGGAGCTCTTCGTACTTGGGGAAGACTGCAAGGCGAGGGATGAACCCGCTTGATTCTGACCAAAGCCACAGGTTCTTCCGCATCACTTGCATGGCATATACCAGCTGCTTCCGTTCAGGGTTACCAAGCTGGACAACCCTTCACTGCTTATAGATCACCAGACAGGACACCCAGACAGGAAGCGCTAGGTATGTATACATCTTACTTCTTGATCCTCATGCTCCGTCCCGCTCCACGGATCCAAGGCGGGTGCGCCGCTGCTCTCCATGGCCGTGTCGCTCCTACAGGTGGAGACAGCGGTCGATACCAAGCTCATGGTGAAAGCCAGCCGTGATCTCATCAGTTCCTTGGTATGGAAACCAGACGCCCGGATGCGACACGAACAGCCAGACCTTGGGGAGTGGGGACGACATCCAGGATTGAGACCATTTGCTTGAGTTTGGAGCTTGGGGTGTGTAGGATTTCATGTGGTGGGCAGACATCTTGGCCTCCCAATGACCCTCCCTTTGTTGGTGTGAAAGCAGGCGTGTATGGCGATGAAATGTTGAGTAGCATAAGATGTGCCTATGAAATCTTTCGTGAGAGCAGAAATCCAATCCTTTTCCAATCCATCCATAAGATGTGCCTATGAAAATTCCACTCCTATCCAATCCTTTTCCTGCAACGTGTTTGAGAGTCTCGAGCGACAGGTTATTGCAAGGGTAGCACGAAGCATTTAGAGGAACAATATCTTCGCGGCGAATTGTAGAAAAATCACACATATATATCCATATTTATAAACATAGTATATAATGTACTGCTAATATACCAAAATTATTCAATTTATGTAATCACAATTTAATACAAAACATAATATAGGCCCAAGGGCCGGTCTTAGCCTATTAGCTTTTTTAGTCCCCCCGTGCGCCGCGATTGAACACGTCCCCCGCATAAGCTGCCATTGCAAAAGCATCAAATTCGCAAAGATAATCATAAGACAGGGACGAAAAGGAACAAATATCAACAAAAAGAAAGAGCAGGCAAAAGCAGACAAAATCAAAACCCTGCGTGTTAGAACTCCACAGAGACCCAGACATATAGAAGGAGAAGATGCACCGGCATTCCAAAGATCCCTGCTAAAAAGAATGGAGATGGATAACAAACGACTTGAACACCGCGACATGGATGACCAACGCAAAGTGAGAAGCTCAGAGCCGGTACGCCTTGTGCGTTCCGCACGACCGGAACTTGATGTGGACCACCTCGGGGGATCAAGATGAAACCCTGAGCATGGCCAGACGCAACCCAGAGCACTCCTGATGCAACAGGTGGAAGCAAAAGAGATGGTCATTTCGGCCTTCGGAGAGAGATGCACAGAGCAGGACATAGAACGGATCCTTCATTGGATCGCAGAGGCAGGTACCACCAAAGAAGGCACCGCACCAGGGAAGGCATGCTGACCTATATGAGCATTGGTTCATTCAAATCCAAACGGGCAAAGGACAAGTTCCAAGGATGGTGGAGGAAGACCTTTCCTTCTCGTGTTCCTGCATGTTATTTGGACCAAACAGGCGAAACCTGGGACAAACACGTGCAGATAGCATCAACGGGATCAAGGGTACAGTATCCATCTCAAAGTTTGCATCGAAGTAGTTAGCACCCACCGTGATAACCCATTCTTCAAGAATATCTCGGGATTCTTCATTAAATGGGAGGATAATACAATCCTCCATGTCACCGACTACATCATCTACATCGATTTTGACGAATCAGAAGCCATTGCGACTATCATCATCGTTCGTGATTTTTTTGCCTTTATTGAGGAACAAGGGCAAACATTTGAGACATAATGAATTATAAAGGAAGAAAGGAAAATTACCGAAAGGAACGAAATATAATAAAATATAATTTATCTTACGAAAATACCATCCGGAGGAAAGGACGATAAAATTTTATTCTTTGGAATATATTTAAACGATATACGAAAAATATTTTTGCATAAATAATAATGATGATATGTATTTCTAAAACATAATATTATATATAATTATAATATATAAATAGGAATATATTGAATAATTAAAATACAATTTTATGTATAAAGGATTTAAATAAATATATGTAAATAATATGTATTTAAATTGATTTTTTTTTATAAAAGGTAATGCTTATATTATTTGAATTATGTTTATTTTAGTAATAATATATTGGGGGGATGAAATGAATTTATAATTGATTTCGATTATTTAAATAATATTATATTAAATTATTCTATTTTTATTATATATTAAATAGCAATTATAATATAGCAAAGAAGAAAATTAAAATAATGATTTTAATGATTACAATAACGAATTTAATAAAATAATATTAAAACTTACATAAATTTGGTTTGCAAATACCAAAATAAAATTAAATTTGATTTCCGTTAATTTTTGGGGATTGCATAGACGAAATTGAAAGAGAACAGAATAATAATAATCTTTAGGATTCAAGAAACAATAGCAACCAGCAAGAAATAACAACAAACAATAACAATAACTAAATAGTAACCAACAATTAATAGGAACAGCAACAACAATAACCAGCAGCAACGATTAACAACAGCGGCGGCGGAGACAGCGGCAGCAATGATAATAACAACAAAACAATAATTATATCACAACAAAGCAATATTTGCAACACCAATGGTAGTAGTAACGACCAAGCAATTAGTAGCAGCGGTAGCCATATTACCTTTCGTCTATCCCCATTTCCTCAAGGAATGGGATGGGGAAATTGGAAGAGTCATTGAAATTGCAGAATAATCTATATTTATTTAATATATAATAATATATTGATTTGATTGATATAATTTTGCAAAAGAAATCTAAAATATTAAAATATTAATAGAATTTGAGATATTTAAAGCATTAATTGAAGATTTTATGAATATATATATTCGATAATTAAATTTTGAGAATTATAAAATTGGATTATTCTAGGGCAAATTAATATAATTAACTATAAAATAATAATATTATGGGATTTTGGGTATGATATTTTTTTGGAGATATAATATATATAATATAATACATTTCATTTCATTTCATCTGCCGGCAACCGTGCTGGTTGCCCGTGTTGGGCCGCAGCTGGATTTCTCCAGGCCGGACACTTCTGGAGTGTCTAGGCACCAGGTTCGAACAGGCGTGCTTATGCAAAGCGATCGTTGAGCAATTCATCAAAACTCTTTGGCTTCATAGGCAAAGGACGTTTCCAATGCTGGCTTGTACAAGACTTGGGGATGATCCAAAGAAGGTAGATAGTGGAAGCAATGTCCGGGTCAATACCCAAAGGAAGGGCGGATCGGAAGTCATCACAAGACTTGACTGTGCCACTGTGCCAAAGAATGCTACGATAATGGCCTTCGGCGGGTGTTGCACCCAGGTGAATGACCCCCGCGGTCACGACAAAATCATGCCACTCAACATGGATGCCTTGGCGATCACTGAAAATCGGAATCTGCACGGGCTGGCTTCTATCCCATAGAACCGAACACTGGCTTTTCTGGCCGATGAAGGGAAAACGGGACACCTGAATGCAAATCCAAGGGGAATCACATGTAAAAGCATGGACAAAAGGCTCTTGATGATGCCAGTTGTTGATCAGCTGCTGAAGGGTAATGAGACCTTCAATTGGACATGCCATAGGAACAGGAGCGAACACGTCTGCTTGATCTTCGGTGGAATTCAGCAATCGAGAGCTCCAACCCTGCTGCATATACTGCGGGAGCGTCTTTTCAAGCAGCCGATGTCGAAACCATCCAGCAAATTCACCAGCATCATGCTGATCACGACTTGGATGGTTCTGGAACCAGTCTACAAGCAGGCGGCCTAGGAACTGGTCTGCACATGGGTCCACAACAACCCCTGCATGCTCAACGAACATGCTCAAAAATTGTTTCTCCCATGCTCCCCAAATGGCGGTATTGAAGGTCAAGCTCATGACGCTACTCCAGGTATGGGCATGCAGAACACTGTTGATATAGCAAGTGCTGCCGGAGCCACCCAGTTTGGTCTCGAGGATGCCCGTCACGATCTCCTCAATCGCTGGGAGATGGCGTTGGCTAGAGGAGAACGTTGGAGGTTGGCTCCCCTTACCCGAAGGAGGATCAACTGTGTGATTCCATTTCCAGCTAGCTTCTGAAGAAGCTGGAAGAGTTCGGATGCCTCGGCAGACCTCAGACTGAGGTCCAAGCGCCATGGTATTGCGGTCGTGGCGTCCTGAGGGAGGGTGTCCTGTTTGACCGGTCGCAAGGCCGAGAACTTGTGTATCACTCCAGGTTGCTGGCCGAGATGCGCAATTCTTTCCAATAGCGAGCGAATCTCCTCCGAGGTCAGGGGTGGCATCCGATTGGGTTTGAGCATCATGGCTTGACTGTCCCAAGAGAGATATGCCCATTAGCTGTCCTCTGTCAAGATGCCTTAGGATCTCAGATTCAATACCAATGCGTCGTCGCTTGCATCGAGCTTCAAGAGTTGAGCTCTCTGTGCAAGGAGCTGAAAGCACTGCAGAAACATGTGCATCCTCAGTGGCATGGTGGCTTCCCCTTTCTCCTTGAGCTGGTTCCATTCTTTGGCCTGGGTCAACAAAGTCGGCATGATGCTTCCTCTGCCGCATTGGATGAAGAACATAAAGCTCTTGTCCAGCTGGAGTTGGGAGATGGCATCCTCCTGCCTCAGAGTCAGGCGGGCAAGCATACGAAGTAGGTCGTCGTTTCCTGCAGACAACGTGGAGGCCGAGGATGGAGAGAATCTGGCTGCAGGACCCTTGCCAGGTCTCTGTGTTCCATCCGTAGCAACCCGTGGTCGTTTGCCAACGTTCTGTGCGCATGCATCGAGGAGGTCCGTAAAGCTCTGATCGTCTACAAACATCTCGTCGGCCATCGAAACGGGAGAGTGCGCACCACAGTTGCCAATCTTGGGCCAAGGAATGCTCAATCAAATGAAGAGCTTGATTGATGTCAGTCAACTGATCTTGAAACGTGTCGGACAGTGTAGTGGGCGGAACGGACTCCGGTGTGCAGTCCCTTGAGTGCCAGGCCCATGTGAGCGGATGCAGTTCATGAAGGAAGGCCACAAAGTGAAAGAACGGGTCCTGTGGCAGTCTCGAGTGTGGTACATCAAAATGATGTGAAACCATGCAGATCGTCTGATGATACCAATTCAACTTGGCTTCCGGTTCAAAGGACAGGACACGACAGAATGGGTCCAGTGGCTGACGAACTAACGAACATGCCATGTCCGGAGTCCAGGTGTGCAGTTCCTCTGGGCGCAGGAGGCCTAAATGCCACGGCAAACGAACCTGATCTGAATCTGAAATGGGCTCCTCAAGATCCATGTTGTCTGATGGCATGCTCGGGGCACCAAAATGCTGATGACTGGTCCAATTGCAAAGCAAGACCGGACATGATGCACGTTGGAAATGGGTGCGCAAGGCCACTTCCATAGTGAACTGGGTGTGACAATGCTTGCATGCTAGATGACCCCTATGCATGTCCTGGACCGGATCGAAGGGAAAACCATCAGGCCTGTGGACATCATGATACTTCCGGAGATGGCTGATGAGGGCTTTACGGCCTACGTAGTCTTGACACAATGGGCATCTGTACATCTTAGCTGGCTCCGGGCAGGGTCCATCTGGATGAGAAGCGAGCATCAATTTCACTGTGACCTTGGCAGGGCGAGGTTCGGATCCCGATGGGGCAGTGGTGGACTGGTCAAGCGGACGATCAATCTGAGCATGCTTCGGATGCTTTTGATGATGAGTGATCAATCCTGTCTCGGTCAAGAAGGTGGTATGACAAGCAAGACATTTGAACAATGGGGTTGTTCGAGCAATTTGACCAGCCCCTTCGGTGTCGGCATCAACCTCCATCGGACTCGGCCGTGTGTCGGGATGAGGCGCCAGGGGGGCCGCATCACATGGAGTCTCGGGCTTGTCTGCATTTCCTGTACCTGAGGACTGTCGGTTGGTCCGAAGCGGGCGCATCATAGTGGGCATGACAGGAAAATGCGAAACATCATATGTCTGTCCAAGTAGAATGCTAATCTGAAGCAAGACTCCACATTGATGTGTGCGTACATCATTGCATTGTTGAGCACACAAGACACACGTGCCTTTTCCACTACCTAGATTGGCAAGGCCATACACTTGATCGCGATGCAATGCTTCATAAACCAAAAGACCTTGATGTCGTTCTCCATAGTGTTTGCGAATGGAGCGAGCAGGCACGGCAAGGTGACAAAAGACACAGTGGTGTGCAATTTCACAGACCAGGGCTTTGTCCAGTAAAATACCTGGGATGGATTTGTAGCGCAAATGCATTCTCAATGACTGGCGGTCAGCAATCGGCACGATGGTCTCCTTGTGCGGATCAAACTGAAGACAAACTCTGGCATTGATGTAATATAATACAATATATATATATATAATTAATTTTGTTTAATTTATTGAACATAAATTGGAATATAATATATTATATATATATTATTTAAAAAATATATATATTGATTAGGTCGAAATTATATTCTTTTGAAATATAAATTTATATTAATATTTTGGATTTAGAATCTATATTGAGATATTTGAATATATTGAGAATCATTAGATTATTTCTTTGGATCTTTGAATACAATATTGTTTTTGTGATGCAGGGCAATATAGATCAAAAATATGAAACATATAGAGAACAATAATATATTCAATTTTATATTTGATTAAATATATTCTACGAATATATGGAAATTTGTTTCTTTGAATTAAAGATATATAAACATATAATTTAATATAATATCTTATTTGCGATGCATTGATTAGACAAGAATGATATTCATTGAAATTAAATTCATGATAATAATCTATTCCTTAGAATATTATATTTAGATATTTGGAATCGTATAGGCAATTATTATTCCGAATGGAATATATTTTATTAATATAGAAAAAAAATAATGGAATATTGATCGTCCTATATCTATTATATATATATATTGAATTTGATAATTCGATCCGCAATTAATCATACAACGATTTTGAATATTTCCGTCTATAATAATGATAAATTATATCTATGTTTCTATTTCATGATTTTGATGACAGAATTCTATATATAATTTCAAGAAAATTATATTTAGATATTAATATAGAATTTATATTAAATTACTTCATATTTGTGTAATTAATATTTATTCTCCATAGACCTACAGACAGCATCACAAACAGACAAGCAGACTAGCATCGAAGTGCTAGTGACACGGGACAAATTGTCCTGCACAGGAGCGACCGTCTCCTGGGTCTCAAGCGAACTACAGTTCGCAGACGGCATGACGAAACAAAGTGCAGCAAGCTTGCTAGCACAAAGACTACGAAGCCACACAACATGCCTGAAGCCGGATCCCAACTTCACAGCATCCAAGAAGAAGACCTTGGAAAGCCGGAAGCAAAACCAGATGTGCTACGTGCTCACCAAGCCATTGGCCCAAATGGCAATAATCGCCTCTCTAGCTACCACATCCATTGCGCATTCCACCAAACCTACAGACAAACTCCAAGACCACCTGATGGACAACCAGAACTTCATCTTCCTCACAGATTTCACCCTGATGGTTACGATGCTCACCAACCTAATATGGTACCTCTGCACCCGAGTGGCAAACAAGCCACAAGAGCCTCCCAGAACAGATGAGGATGTGCCGACCACAGAAGAACAAACTGGCAGCGACAACAAACAGAACGACCAGAACACCCAGACAACACATGTCGAGCCAGAGACACTCATCTCCCTCAGGAGACAGATCAAACAACTTGAGGCACAGAACACTCACCTACAAGCACAACTCCAACAGATTGAACAACGACTACAAGACCAACAAACCTGCTTTCAAAAGGACTTCCGTCGACAACGGGAGAACTACGAGCTGCAAGCAGAGACCATGAGAACTCGGTATAAAGAAGAAGTCCGAGTCAAAGCCCGCAATCGCCTGAGGTTTGCAATAAATACCAATATCTTTCCCACCAACAATGGAAGTAGTTGGCACGCGAGCCAGCTGTGTGCAAGTCAGCGCACACCCTTGTGCCTTGCAAGGTATGTGCCCACGGCCTTAGACAAGACCTCTACGAAGAGGATGAAGCTGCTGCCCCTTCCTAAAATCCCTCTTTCCCGATGTGAATGTGATGCCATCACATGTTCGAAGGCAGCAGCTGTCCGGTCTTGAGTTTAGATGCCGTCCCTTTCGGCATAAAACCCCGTTTTATGTGTATCCTCCCGCACAGCTGGGAGGACAAAGCTCTTACCAGAGCCAGATGGCCGCCTAACGCGAAAAGGCCGCGTCCATGGTTTACAGCTAATTGCATTTCGGACGATCGTAAACCTCGAGAATCGTTTTTATATTTTATATTAATATTTCTTAATTTATATTTTATATGTATATTAATTTGCAATTAATAAAAAGATATTGTTTTTTATTTGCAAATATTTCTTTATATTTCATATTTATATATAATTTGCAAATAATATTTAAAATTATTTTATATAAAAATTTATTTGTATATTTTATAATATACATATAATTATTTGCATATTATAATTTATATAAAATTATTCGCAACATATTTTTTATATATAAAATTAATTGTAAATTATATTATTTATAAATATAAAATCATTATAAATATATAAATAATTATTTCAAACATTAGTTTTAAAAATATATTTAATTATTAAAAAAACTATTTAATCAATCATAAATTCTATTCAATCTAAATCTAATTAAACACCCTATAATCATCCAAAGCCAAATTCATTATATATTATATATAACAAAATAAATCTATTTATATTTATTTATAATTAAATTCAAACAAAAAAAACCCAACATATATTTTAACCCAAAACAATATATAAATCATAAATATTTCTTCACCATTATAATAAATAATCCTTTAAATATATTATATCCAATTATAACTAAATAAAAAAATAAATAAATATTCCAAAATATCAATATATTTAGAATATTATTACTATATCTATTTTCATTCTCCATCATATTCATATTTTTTTCGGATCTCAATTATATATAAAAAGATATTTTATATAATATCTATATATTTGATTTTAATTGGAAATATTCATCGAATTGATTTAATTGAGCAATTCGCAAAGGCTTTCGGCAGAATCGTGGCTTTTTCCTCCGGTGTGGGCAAGTTGGTGGGGATGTTTTGCTCGGTGTCTACATCATTCAGGTTGGTCCGGAAGGTTTGATGTGTTCTCCAGGTATTGATTGGTCCCTTTCTTTCTGGCGGTTTGTTCGTTCCATTCTGATCTATGTCCTGCACCAATCCGGTGTGTTCCATTTCCAAATGCCAAGCATTGCAACACCCCGAGTGTTCTATATCATTCATCCACCAACCCCATTGTTCCCCAGCCAGAGCCACATTCAGTTGACCCACTTTGAAGCCTTCAGAGTTATCAATTAGATCCCAAAAGCACTTGGAGACCTCCACAATGGATCAACAGCTTGCTTCATGGAGGTTTCGAGCATGGATCAACAGCTTCATCCGTGAACTAAATGAAGGATATATGATCAAATCACCTTCCCGCCATGCGGAAAGGCCCACCACATCCGAAAAAGGTCTTCTATCTCTTCATCCTTTCTTCCCAGCCAAGCACATCGTCCGAGTCACGACTTCTCCGTGGCCGAGCACTTTTCCGTGGCCAGATGGGGCGGGCCCTTCTCCGGAGCCTGGTGGAGCTTGGTGAACTGGGTCGCCGAACTGGGTTGCCCAATTGGTGCGGGTGGTTGCCCGACCTATTGATGAGTGTTCATAGATCCAAACTACTCTAAAGGGAAGGGTAAAGGATCAACAGATGTCAACATTAGAGTCTCTTGTCACCTGTCCACTTGATCCTCTCCATCTTTCTCCATCTTGGATCTGGCCATCCTTGGGCCAAAAGCACTTTTAAACGAAGGTGCCCTATATCTACTTGCCGAAATCACATCTATCCTCTGGATGGGTTTGCCATGAACAATACCTGCAGAAGGGCCACATCACGTTGGTGTTGCGCCTGTGAGGCTGCAGATTCGGCCGAAAAGACTTGCGTTTGCTGACTGGACCGAAGCCACATCCTTTTGCCAGTTCGTTTCAGGACACCACACCATTCCTCCAAAAATAGCCTTCTGGGCACCTGGGGTACATGGAAATCTGACCATCATCATGAACTACATGTTTTCAAGTCCACTGATATTGACGCGCCTTGTTCTCTGATCTCGAAGGGCCAGCATGGTACTGGCAGCTCCTCACAGGATGCAGGTCTGCCACTAGTCTGTCCTGATCTGTTCTAGTTCTATGCTACATGTAGCAGGGTAGCAGTTCATGCTACATATGAGACTTCAGAATTGCCAGGCCCTTTGTGAAATGGCATGGACATGCACAGCACCGGTTGGTCGCCGATGACCGGGGACCCGGGGCATCAAGAGGGAAACCTCCAAACACGACGAGCGAAGCTCGCAATGCTGCCCGTGGTCTCTTTGACTCGTTGATGAGGAGTGGAGAGACATGGACAAACATCTTTGGGTCAGAGATGCCGAAATCCCGCTGATTTCCGCCTGCCCGTTTGGTGGTTCACATCTCACTCTTAGAAACATCTCCAGCTGGCAAAAGCTTTCCAGCGCCACAATTCTTGGCTCATTTCATCTCCCTTCCCGCAAGTTCGCCACGGGAGAGGATCCGCTTGGGATTTGAGATGCCAGGTGGGGACCGTACGACAGCTTTTGCCGTGGCCAGACATTGTGCTTGGTTCACTTCTACAAACAAATGTGTCTGTGTCAACTCTGACCTGTCAGCCTGTGGAAACTCTTTCAATTCTGACCTGTCAGACTTCTGACTTTCTCATCTACAGCAAAAGAAAGCTGCTTGCTCGACTTGCCAAGTGGACTGTAAATCCTCAATGCTCTGATGACTGGTGTTGTCAAAACCTTTGGTGGCTGGCCATGTCTGCTGCCTAGACTGCCTAGACTGTCTCTCTATCTTGAGCATGCCGACAAAGGCGATCACACAATCCACTACAACTGCGTCATGAGGCTTGATGCCCAACGTATAAATACCTCTCTCCATGCGAATGGTTTGCAAGGGTTACATGCGTTCTGGGACTGAGTCTAGGACCAGGAGTCTAGACGATGCTTTGAAGGTAGCCACCGTAGCAACCAGCCCTTTTCCATCCTGTTCCTTTCTTCTTCGAGCTGCGTCGATAAACCGATCACTCCTGCGTAGGTACTGCATGGGGTGCCGGATTGCTTCGAAGTCACCTCAAGAAAAAACCGGAGCCACCAAGACATCCCGTGAATCTAAAGCTGTTTCTTTGAATGGGATGATTGATTGCCCTTCCAACCCTGGCTTGAAATCGACCATCACGCTGGCCAGCATGTTTCTGCCCGAAACCGCAGTTGATCCGAAGGAAGCTGCACTAGTGAAGCGAGGGTAGAAACAGCACCGCACCGAAAGCGGCGTCTGGTGACGCACCAGTTGTGCCCAACCAACGACCTAAGAAAGAGGTCCAGTCCCAGTAGCACCTCTCTTGGAGGGTCCCAGCTTGTGCTCCTTTTTCATGTGTTCGATGTCTTTCTCCTCTTTCTCCGCTAAGAACTTCGTCCACTCATCTGATGTGTTCATCGAAGCAACGGCTCGAAGGGACCGTCTGAGACCTTTGGCTCGAAGGGACCGCGTGGAGTACACGGACTGAGAAGAAGTTCACCAGCCCAATGCCCGTTTGACACTTCCTGGGCAGGGTAGACCCTTTTTTTTGGAGGATCTTAGGGTCTTAGGTCCAATCTTGTGGTCGTCCATGTTACAGGGAAGGGAAGTGGCAACTCCACTGAGACTGGTCACTCGTCAAAGAGCAAGATGATAGCTCCATCCAATGATAATGACCATTCCATCTGATGACTCATCCAATAATCCTGAACTACCTGGCTTAGTCATCGGCATCAATAGCTTTGGGGGGTTCATTCCATCAAAATCTACAGTCTTTAGGCTCTCTTCCCCCCCCCTTCCCGATCCCCTTATCCGTCTTTCACTGCTGTCTACGACCCTCGAGCGCCCGCGCTGCCGGGATGACGCTCTTGGAAGATCAGGCCGCAGGCCACCTGTTCCTGTGCCTCGGTTCGCTCGCTTCACCAGCGAAGCATTTCGGAAGACGAAGAGCTGGCCACCGGTTTCAAACGGGTGGAGCGCAGGCCGCAAGGCCCCAGTGGGGAGGAGTGTCTTTGTTGGGGTGTGGCGGGAATGAAGTCACTTCAGTTCTAAAAAGGATCACTTAAGAAGCCAAGCAGGGTCACCAAAAGCGTGGGGGAGGGGGAATGCTACCAATGTGCCCGGAGGAAGGTCGTGCTCCTGACGAACTCCTACACATAGCTCACAGGCGAGCTCCTGCCAAATCTCATATATGCTGTACGGTACCACATATAGATAACATATGATAATATATCAGTTTCCGAAACTCCTTAGGCACCCTTCGGATGGTGCTGGTAGGGTAAAGGGTTGCAAGTATCTTCCAAGGATCTCCAAAAACTTGGGACTACCACGTAGTCAGAATACCACAGAGTGCACATGGCTACGTGTGGCCATTTCTGAAGCAGGGGTCAACCTTGGCAAAGTCGAACGGTGTATTGGTTTCATTATGTTACCACTTACTGCATCACTGAAACAATGTGCTGATCAATTCAACAAAAACTGATCGTCAGACTAGAACCATACTGAGCACCAGCCAAATCCTCCAAAGATATCACGAGGCCCAGCTGGTACCGCCCAACGACACAGCTGACACCTCCAAATACCATATATACATGATAACGACACAGCTGGCACGCGCGGGAACCCTGTGACGCGGCATGCGAACAAGCTGCAACGTCTGGCGGTGAATCTTCCTGTCTGAACGGAGTGTTGCTACTCTTAATGTGTGGAAAAAAGACCCACTGCAACGCAATTCCTTCTTTGGGGCAAACTCTTAGTGCACCTGTTTATCCATGCGGTTTGAAACACAAAGAAACTAGAAATCAGCTGGCACGGGAACCATGGTCTGTCCTTTTGAACCACAGGAGCGACCAAAGAGTTTGGATTGACCATTCGGCTAATGCTGGCTTAATCTGGCTTCATAGAAACCAGTGGACCAGTAGTACACGCATAAATCAGAAACAGTTGGAGAACCGGTTCCTGGGTCAGTCTTCTCCGCTCTCCTTGCCCCTAAACCCTCACATTGAACATCCATTTAGATGGAGAGTCCTCAACTCTGCAGCACCAAAACAAGAGTATAGGTCCCCTCAGAAGAAAAAGTGCCTCCGAGACAATACCAAACCACTGTTCGAGCTCCACTACTCTGTTGGTTTGAGTCCCACCAATCGCCAAAGTTGTCCACGAAACAATGAAACGACACGATTAAGATAGAAGTTGTGCATCTGATCCTGTGCCAAATGACTTGCTCACCTCTCTACTCTATTCCCCCCTGAAAGGAACTCGGAACTTGTTTCAAGCGCACCACGGACGTACCTGACTGACCCGGGGGTTCCGGCACCCCCTCCAGCACTCGCGCCGGCCTTCGTTCTTGACACCGGTCCACTGCCGAAGCACCGCAGCAGGTCTTCCAGCTGCTCGGTGGGCAAGGCCCTGGCAGAACAACGTGGGTAACCAGAATGGAGGCTGGGTCCAATTGGTGTTCTTTGGTCATTTTGATTTAATTACATTTACATGTGTATGGTTTTCTATTTGGGATTACAGTGGATTATGCATAAGATACTGGCAAGACCATCTGGCTGCATTCCTCGCATCTTCGACATTATCTACTCTCCAAATGTCTCAGACATGTCCTCTTGTGCACATGGAAGCCCCGGCCACAATGCTGGACATGTTTGCGGGATTTTCGGGAATCTTGGTTGAGTGCTTGGGCAGCGGCGAAAGGGAAAAGGCTGGCTACCATATTCACTGCAGTAGTCAAGGGCGGCCTGGCCACGGTCATGCGTTCATGTGATGGGCACTTGCAGTGTGTCTCGAGCAATGTCCCCAGGCACCCAATGAAGAGCCAGGTCCAGTGCCCCCTGCAGCACGACAAATCCCTCCTGGAACCCAAAGCCACCACAGCGGAGCTATCGGCCCAAGCAGGGTCCAATTCTCTGCAGCCTCTAGTGCGGAAGTAGGCATGATGGCAGCCATTGCTGATCAAAGTAAGTGTTACAGTACCCACTGACTCCCACTGTTTGTTGGGGTGTGGTCTGCACATGGAATGTCTACAATGATCCGTCTGCTCATCCTGAATATCTTAAAGGATCGAAATCCTCTAATGAAAAACAAGATGCATTTCAGATCATTAATAATACTTATGTCATTTAAGTAGAAACCACTGGACACCACTGGTGTCGCCCGTTGTAGAAACCCAAGCGGTGTCGCCCACGCAAGCATTCCAGGCCTAAAGGGACATCCATGAGCCTCTGAGGCCTGCGGAGAGAAGTACAGAAGAACCGGCGGCGATTGCCGTCTGCGGAGAGAAGCGCAGAACCAGGAGACCGACCGACCGTGCCTGCACAGCAGCAGCCCGGCTGCAGAAAGCCCTTTTCACTTCGGTGTGTTCACTTAGGACTTCGAAAAAACGGCAATCTCCGTTTGCGTCCAACTTTACATGAAATGTGTGAGGGCTTCTTCACTCTTGACATCAAAAGCCAGAGAGCTTTTGAACAAAACCCACCAGTTCTTTACACAAGATCGTCTGTACAGCTTTGGTGCCGTAAAGTGCACGCTTCCAATGCACCTGTGCATGCCCCTGGGGTCGACCCTCCTAGGGCTGACGGAATCGTCCACCAAAGAGGCTCACGGAGTCATAGGGCTTCGAGGCCGTGCAAAGCCCACCCGCATGCGACTGGTCAAACAGGCTGGTGTTGCGCAGCGTCGCCGCGAAGTGGCGCCAGGCGTTCAGCCGCTGCTCCGAGCAATCCAGGCCGTGGTAGAGCTTGTCCATGACCTCAGGCCACCAAAGGAACAAGGCCTGGAAGAGGCAGGCCAACATGATGGCGCCCATCAGCAGGGCGTAGAAGAAGCCAAAGCTATAGACCTTGAAGAAAGGCACCTTGGCCGGACTCCAGGGACACAGCCACAGAAGAGCCATGTAGCTCAAGCCCAGGAGAAAGGACCATGTCCAATAATAGCCAATGGGAGACCATGTTGACGCAATGAAACACTGCTGGCTGTAGTCCTCTTGGTAGGCATAGAGGTGCCTCACCAACACTGTCGTGATCCGATTGAAGCCTGGTGTGAAGATCAAGCAAACGGTGAAGGTCATGTACTGCATGTGCAAACCGTGAAGGCCTTGGGATGCAAAGGCAATACCACGAACACCTGAAGCCATGATACCGAATCCAATCATCACAAAGAACATGGTCTCTGCTCCCCGTTTGTTCTGCACATCACAGAACCACAGGGACAACGTTCCAAGTCCAACGCAAGCAAGGATGATCACGAGTAGAACCGAACCGAAACGCGTATGCCCCTTCATGGCACTGACATTGCTCTTGATCACGCCAAAGTAAGCCAAAGCGACTTGCAGCAAAATCCCGCCCAGCATGGGCACTGCAAAAGTCATATGTGACTTCAGAATGACCGGCAAAGAGTTGAAAACAGGGTTATACAATGTCCCAATGTCGGCTGGCCGCGGCTCATACGGCTCGTTACCGCTGGTATTCCACCATGACCCATACCATGCTGACATCACAATGCTATAGCCGAAGATCAGCCCGGGAGGAGTACAGTAAAGTACCACCAACCAAAACCACTGTGCCTTGAAGCCATGGAGGTAGTTGTCCCAATCCTTGTCCACCTCTTGACCCGTTGACCAGCTTTGACCTGAGCCGTCAGAGCTCAGCTCTGTGGTCAGAGGTGCATAGGAGGATGGTTTGGCCATGGATGCGGTGGAAGACGTCTTGCGGTCCACAAACTCTCCGTCAGCTTGAACCCAAAATGGCTGTTTTCAGGACCACACTCAACTGGCTCGCGGTCGAAATCAACATCCACAAAAGATCGCGCGGCGGGTGGCAAATTAGTTCTATGGGGTGCCCTCCTAAACAACAACTGCTATCTGCCCACTGTGTGTTGAGTGTACTTGCCAAAAAGTTGTAAATACGTCTGAAATCTATTGATGAATAGCACCCCTCATTGTGGATTGTAAGACCTCTTCATCTGGGTGGGGGGGTTTATGATTCCAGAATCTACCGAACACCGGTGATTCCTTGGACTCGATGCTCCGCTCGACCAAGGTGCCACATGCTCCATCCACTGGTACCCGCCTGGGGCATGGGAAAGCCCAAGGTCTTCCAGCCTTAGAAATACGATGAAAGGCACTCATCACTGCATCAAATGAAGTTGAAAGATCTCGGGTTCGTGAGTACAGGTAGATCTACATAATAGACTCATAGACTCATTGATTTTGAAGAAATCTCCCGAGACATGGACCGTAAACCCTCTTATGATTGAAGTGGGGGTTGACATCATATGAACAGCAGTCAAAATGACACCTGGGAGTTCGGCCAGCTGGGATTCTTAAACCTCTGTATGTCACAGTTACCCGCATCAAGGCTTCACCCCACAAAATGGGTCAACTCACCTCCCTGGTATGGACTCACATCATCTCACATCCGTCTCCATAGGACACTTCAAGAACCAGGCGCAGTGATTTCTCCCTGATTTCTCATCATGGTTAGGTGGATGGCTTGTTTTTCCCCGATGTTGGAGGACCATTTTCCTCTACACCACGCATGGATGTCCGCTCAGTCAACCCCCCTTGGTTGGTTGTCACCCGGTAAGTAACAAAGATCTAAAGAACAAACTTTCCACTTAGGTTTTAGACCAAAAGAAACCGGCATTGAATCAAAAGTCGCACTTGGCAATCTCTCAATTTGCAGGCCTCGTATTGAGGCAAAAGAGGAATCAAGCAGAGTTCGAGAAGCATCATGTTCCTGACTTTGTTTTAGAATGATCGAATGCGTTGAAAGACGGTGTGTCGGCAGCATTGTTTGCTGTGGAGCAGGGAGTAGTCAGTAGTCATGCGTAGTCTGTAAAGAACTGGAGAACCGCATTTGCATCAGGAAGTTTGGACGACGTGCGATGCCACCGGCACACTTCCCCTGGTATCCAAAATGCAAAGGACGAACATGGTATTGGTGTTCGCGAGAACAGGTGGCTTTCCACTTCCGTGACTAGTTCAGCGAGTGTATTACAGTAGTAACAAATTCACCAAACATGCCGGGATCTGATGATCTGATGGGCAACAACATCCACTGCGTGAGCATAAAAGATGCAGGACGAACACATCCATCAATTGAGCCAAGAGACAGCTCCAGCCATACGCGGGCTTGCGTTTTCCTTAGCTGTTCATGCATGCTTGAGCATTCGTGTGCCTGGGTTGAGCTTCAGTGTGCCCGAGTTTTGCCCCACAATCTGGAACCAAAGCCATATTCTTGGAGGCTCCACCAATGGACGTGTCCATGCAGGCGGACATGCCTTCTATTAAAACTTTATAAATTAGATTCTGGAGTTGAAGCAACAGGACAACTCAAAAACACTTCAAAGGCATGGTATAATTATGACTCGGCCTACACAAATGTCGTTTCATCAAAGTAATGCAAAATTGTGTGAGCATCCAAAAGGATTGGAGTACACAACAGTATGGTTTGAGGATATTCAAACCTGTGGCGTGGAAAAGAGGACTGAATCTCGAAAAGTGCTGGAAGTTCCCTTAAATTGATGAGGGTTGAGACAATAAGCCCTGTGTCAAACAAATGACGGTTCAGGCCTGTTTCTGTACGAATCCGCTTTTTGTAGTCTGTCCTTTTGGGAAACATGGATTCACCCTACACCAAGCTGGTTCTTCGTGAGCGGGGTAACCTGGTAAGCTTGGGTTAAAGATGAACTACGGCCGAAATGTACAAATCCCTTATTCTGGATTCCAACCCCCCTAAAACATAAAACGAGAAACTGCTCGCAGCAGCTTGGCTCGTTCAACTCGGGGTTCATCCAACCAGGTCAATCCAAGGGAATCCGCCCCTTCCACCCGCTCTTGATCTATGCGTCCATTCCTACCGTAGGCGTGCTGGATGTGATAGGAGTGTTCTCGATCGAAGACCTCCTGACATCGATCTTCGGGAAGGTTTAGGTGCCAGCAGTTCGGAACTGAAGCTCAAGCTGAATGAAGATGTTACTCTCCCTGGAACTAGCATTCCCAAACACGACCCATGGGACTGCCATTTATGCCGATCAATTGACCCCCAAAACAACCCTAATGCAGGCATATATTATGGCAGTCCCATGGAGTGTCTGGGATTGGAAGTGGAATTATTCTCCCCTGTTTGTAGAGACCATGATCATCCGTACGGGACCATTCCATCCAATTCCAGGGAGTATACGCAACCTGTTGAACTCAGAATCATGTCTGAATCGTCCACTGCGATCACTAATAGCCGGCTAGTTGTTCGTGGGGTAATCTTTGTTTGAATCAAATCCATTTAAAACTGACATCTGTCCAGTACAAGGAGCTGAAATCATATCCCTGAGCCCCTGGTCATCGAATTTCATCTCATCTCCACTCTAAGGATCCTCAATAAGTGTTCTGAGAAGTCTTCCTTGGGCCTTGGGAGATGCAAGGCGGCAGCTACCCCTGGGTTCCATGGTGGTCCTCCCAAAAACAGGCTACGTGGTGCAAAGGCACATGGACAGAATCGCCTGCAGTACAGTCAGTACTATGCACCGTTCTATACCCTCATGGTCAGACATGCCCTGAATCGAACTCTATGGCTGTGGGGAGACTGGCACCAGGATCCCGACCGGTTGACCTACCGGGTGACGGTCTTCAAGCTCGCTACATGGTGGACTGGTTGGGCTCCAGGTCGAACGACCGTGTGTCGAACGACGCACCGTTGCACCTCAAGATGTATATGTCTCGCGGTCCACTGAACGATCCAACTTGGACATGTTCAAAAGCTGGAAACCACCAGTGCTGCCTGGGGACTGCCTATATATAAGGACCTATCCCGGTCGAGCTCCTGGACCACCTGAGAAGATGGGTGAGAAGATGGGGTGAGAAGATGGCTCGTTTCCACCTGACACACTGAGGAGATGGGCCAGGAGCCCGACCGGGTACCCTATCCCATCTTCACTCCTGCGTGACCTTGATGTCTCGTAGCAACTCGCGGCGCCACCAGGTCATCGCCTCCGCCAGCGGCAGCCTGACACGAGATCCGAAGGACCGTTTCACGAAGGGACATGACGAAGGAACCCCAAAACAGGTACAACATGGTACAACATGGTACAACAGTACTGTACCATATCTTGTACCCATTTTCGAAGGTACTTTTTTCCGGTTCTTACAGGTCGAGACTCCAGCTGAATGAGCGCGAAGATGCGCGAATGATCCGAAGAACTCGCGTGGACGGAGTGGCGGCGATGATATTTCACTGCCTGAGGATCTTCAATTCAGAGGATTTGATTAATCAGTTCTAATTTACAATTCGTATTGAGCAGGTCTTCCTTAATCAAATTCCAGAACATTGGAGACGCACCTACCCCATATTATTACGAATCTAACATGAGTTGTGGGTCATGTCACTTCGTCCGCAACCCCCTCCAGATCCAGATCATTCCTTCGCCGTCCAAGCAGCCCTGCTTCTCGCAAGAGCGGCCGCAACTGGGTGCGGCCCAAGTTCCTCCGAGCCGAGCAAAGCGTAGCGGACATGGCGGTGGTGCGTGCAGATGATGGACATGGCAGCTATGACGTGACATTTATATAGACTCACATAGACCGTAGACCCTGGGTCATAGATCACGATCCCCAAAGCAACAGTTTCTTAAAACGAGCTCCCAAACAACTGGTCACGGCCTGACATGAGGAACAGGGAAGGCTCAGAAGGCCGATTGGGTGGTTGTGCAAGACAGGGATGCAAGAGGACTGGCAAGAGGTTGTTGTAACTGTAGAATGTTGTAAACTGTAATATATAATATATACACATAAAATTAATGATATACTTACTAGACCTTTTCTCCAAAGGTCATGAGATCCTGGGGGTTGGTTCAACCTGGTTCCTTGACATATGTTTCTCTCGTGCTTTCTTCAACCCCCATCCCATTCCCAATCCAACAGCATGATGATCATCGCTGACCAACCCAAGCCTCAAATCTTCTATCTCAAAAACAACATAACCTGCTATCCCTGAGAACCAAGGGCAGCTGACGATTCACGTTTTGTTTGTTGCAGTAATTACTACTTACTGTACATGTAATTGCAGGTATATAATTACACTAATCTTCAAGTGTTTTGTGACGGCCAATGTATGTCAATGTCAGTATACCAACCTGTTCTTTTCGATTTCATCTTTGTCCTTCTTCAAGGGTCTGATCCACTTGCCAAGCCAAGAAGCTTTAGGTGGGTGCCGTTCCGCTGAAAGCTCACCAGGTGCTGCATGCCTCAAGCTGACAGGCTGGGAGCTGGACATCCTGGAACCCTTAGGCATCGAACGGAACATCAACCCCCCAACTGATGCCCACTCGGTCTACCAACGGTCTACCACCTTTGGACCACCAAAAAATCACACGCCTTTTAGAACACCAACACCTTCAAAGCCAGCGATCCTATCACATTCAACTCCTGAGGTCCTGAGCTCCAACCCGAGGATTGCAGTGCCATGCCAAGGTACAAGGTGGAAAGGACCTCCGATAGATCTCCTGCCATCCACAAAGTCAGGCCAACGTGTCAGGCTGGGAATCGGGTGACCCGACTTGAGTGCACCACAAAATGATCTCAGATTCTTGTGGAGATTCGAGCTTGAACAAGCTGTCTGGACGTGATAGGTAAAGGCAAAACCAAAGGGTACCCAAACAATCTGGTATTCAGACTGCCTTCTGCGAACCCAAACCCCTTCTATGAACTTCTGCAAAGGCAAGAGGGTTAGCACGAACCCTCGGGCAATAGCACAAGAAGTCTTCCACGAACCCCCCAAATCATCTACGAACCCCGCAGGGTTAGCACAAACCCCAAAGAACTCCACGAAGCTCTGCGAACGGCAATCCACATGCTTCTATACTTAGTGCATACCCCGTTCGTTTTGCCCTGAATAGGTAATAGTACGCGATAGCGTTGGAGCTGCAACAGGAGGTTGCTTTGGGAAACATCCTAAGTCACCCATCCTCTCACTGTTTCTGCAGGATCTGTCGGGGCTCTCAGGATATGTCGGGACCCACGCAAAACCCCACGCCAACGTGCCACGTACCTCGAAGTTGTGCAGCATCAGCCCTACGCCCTCGGGCGCTTCCGCAGCCCGCTCCGCGTTCCGCAGCTCGAGCAGAAGTGGCTCCAGCGCTGGGCGGAGGAGATCGACCTGGACGAAGCCCGGTGGAGCCTGTCGACACGGGTGTGGAGTCCAGACTACCCGGCTGGGCCTGGGGCGGTACTCCCTAGGCCTGGCTTGGGTACCTCATAGCATTATGTGAACATCATGTTTCTCATAGATCGATGCGACTTCCAGCCACAGTAGACTGGTCCTTGCCTTCTTCCAAGGGGTTGAACTGGAGAGTCCTCGCAACTGGGTCCCGCTATGTCCAAGACACGTCCATCATGGACATGGAAAAAAGGTCCTTGGTTTTGTGCCGCACAGTTGGAGTGGGTTTTTAAGACTTGATCCGATATTGATCCATATTCTAATGGGGTACATGCAAACTCTCACCCATTGCTTGTGTTCATTGGCTTTTCATCCTAATATCCATGAGGGTTGGACAGTCCGCTGAGAGGAACCAGGACCCTTCACACGTCAGCAAAACCGCAATGGCCACCTGTCATTCCTTCAATCACCTGGTTTATGATGGATGTCCAGGACTGTTGGCGACAACGAACTGATCAAAAGAATCAGACCCTTTCAAGAGTCTCTTTCAAGTGTTGACAATGTATAAAAACGGACCGTTTAACGTACACATTCATGATGACACTTACACGTGCAAAGTGCAAACCCAAACCAATGGTTTCATGTGGTCCTGCACCAGTCCTGCGCTTTGATCAACGAGGGCCGGCGTCGCGACAACGCGGCTGCCAAGGTTCTGAGTCCTTCAGGAGACCCAGGCCGTGAGCTGCCACCGCCTGACTGGCAACCTGGAGGGCTCTCTGCAAATGACCACCTGGGATGCAGCAGCCAGCAGCAAATGCTAGTAGCAAAGAGGAAGTCGAAGTGATGGCAACTAGTCGTATATTGGTGTCAACAAAAATTGGTGGCAACTGAGGTCCACCAGAATGCGGCACAAACGGCTAAGGGCATCATCCATGAAAGCGGTGGTGCCCTCAAAACCTGTGAGGCGACACGTACTCCTCAGCTCGTTCCAATCTATATCCTTGTCACAATCTACAAGATTCTACAAGCGGATCAGTTGATGGCTTGTGATGACATCTTGTGACAACCCCACAGGCTGTAATCAAAACATCTGAATAATTGTGTGTGTTGTCCTTCAGGGGAGCTGGCATGTTTCTGGGATTGAACATCCATGGTGGAATATGGAGTCCCTCGAGGGCCCTCAAACTTGGGGAAGGTGGGCCCCGCAAATTCCTGGTATCAATCCACCTGCACCCAAACACCTATCCGCTGGTTGCTATTATCGCGGAGGTCTGATTCACGATTCTAGGGTACCACGGCCCCCTGAAACCATGCATTGTCGCTCAGGGCCCCAGCTTCGGGCTTATCTGCTCAGGCTTCCAGGTTCCCAACTCATCCAAAGGACGGAAGCAGTGGCGCAGCAGCAGCAGGAAGTCCTTGCCCCCCGGATGGTTCGAACGTTACGCGCACGGACCCCCGCGGGTCCGCGTTCTCACCCCCGCTCCTTGGGCAAAATGGTGAAACGCATGGTCTCAGTGAGGACGGCGCAGAATGATTGATATGGTGCTTTTCATGCAACATCAACACGGAAGGGGAATTGCTTGGCTTCTAGGAAAACCATCTTTTCCTCCACAAAGAGGGTCAATTGTCTCAAGTCGATCCATCACAGTCGCGACTGGGGAGTCAAAGGGCTTTTCAATGCTTTTCATGAACTTGGAGATCAGGTGAGCCTCAGGTGGATCATCTAAAGCACTCAGGATTGCTACGACTCCAACATCCCCCGCACCATCCTGATCAATGGCACCCTGCACCGACTGTCCTGCGGCTCCACCGTGGCCACACCCCGGCAAAGCTTCGCCCGCCGCAAGGCCAGCAGCTTCGGAGGCAGCTCGGTGAAGCGCAGCGAGGCGCCGTCTGGGTCGGCGGACCGAGAGTTGGACGGACTCTTCTGCCGTCCGGGCTCATCAGCCTTTCAAACTCGGGCTCCAAAGGGTCATTGACAGCGGACGCCCCGAAAAGACCAGCCCGGTCCGGTGGTGAGTTTGTGTGCCAGACATGGCAGACATGGCTATGGATCAAAATGTATCCCTCAACTCCTCAACCGTTTTTCTGGTATATATCAATATGACTCAATATGACAACATAAGCTATATAGTTTAGGTATGGTGAATGCTGCAGTTGATGTGTTGTATCTCCGAATGTTTTTTCAATGTTTTTCAACCCCCATGAACATTCACTAGGAGGGGTTGTGTCAGTCATTTTATAGATATAATTTGGCGGGCGGGCACCACCTAAAACACTATAGAATGAAGAGGTACCGGAGAAAAATGCACTCTATACATTGAGTGTGACTCTGATAACATCAGTCGAGCACCATGCTAACAACCAAGATAAGCATGCTCAAAATGGTCCTCTATAAAATGATTTTCTTAGGATCCTTATGTTTTGGGTCAGGAATTAAGAAAGCAAAAAACAATTTATAGAGGAGATGTCCTGTATCCATACATGTAGATTCAAAACATGGAACACATTTTATAGAGGGGATTTGGATTAATAGTCTACATATATAAAAGAACCTTTGTAGAGGACCATTCCAGTCCCAAAAGAATTCTAGAAGAACCAGGCACGCAATTTGGTACAAAGAGGATGGGGAAATACGAAAGCTTTAGAAAATGACTGTGAATGTGTTTCACCTTTGTTCACTGCAAAATCAGATGCACAGCCATTCTGTAATATATGTTTAGGAAAATTTGTGTGTGTCTTGTATGTTCTGGTGATGTTATACTGACGTAGTCTTGGGATGCCTCAGGAGCAGTAAATCTAGATTGGTTTGGGACTGGATTTTGGGCTTCTATATAATGCTACTTACTGTACGTTGTTCTACTGTACGGTGTTATTTCGTTCACTACTCTTTCGGCATCTTTCCCTACAAAATGTTTGTCTTGCTGATGAGTCTGTCGTCATGTGTAAACTTTATCTCTATAAAATGTGTTTTTGTTGTTGTTTATTCTCGCAAATTCCCTCTATAAAATGTTTTCTCACCTCTGACTGCCATAACGAAATGCCACAAATTTGCGCTCTATAAAAAGGAAGGATACCTGACATGTTTTTGTTGTTGGTGAGTAGAAAACCCTTGATTTTCTATAAATTGCAGGTCTTCATATGTTTCCCCAAAAAAAACTCTATAAAAACACATTTTATACGGGCCTCAAGGCCACCCATTTCATAGAGGAAATGTCAAAGGGGATGTTTTTCATGTTTATTAGGTCTTGCTTCTTTGCCTAACCCCCATGCCAATCGAAGATTTCGGGACTTGCTGGGTCCAACGAAGAAATGGCACTCAGCTTGTGGATGGCACTCAGCTTGTGGATGGAGACCCCAGTGCTGGATATCATCCACAAACCAAACCGGGGGATAGCCGCTGTCTATCCAAGCACTTGTGAACGCAGCAGGTGTTATTTCCGCTACTGAGTGGCGCCTTTCTCCAGGTGATTGGACATGAAAAAAGGGGATGGCTTGGGGAGTTGACTCAGCCCCCACAATCCGCACAATCTAAGGTCATCTGACGGAATCGCTTTTCATATCACATCTGACAGTGCGTGGCCACCTGGCTGGGCTGCATCTCACCTGCGTCTTCTACGTAGCCTCTCAGTTACTCACTTAACAAATACTGCAATGCGTCTGCCGCGGCCCATCTCGCGCACCTGGCTGCGCTGTGGGCACAAAATGACGAAGCGCCTTCAGGCGCTCGTGAGGACCTGCCTGGCACAGAAGGCTTCGCCGCTTCGACCGGAGTCGAGTTTCGCGCGCAGCGACCGGAGTCGAGCGCTGGAGTATGATCCAGTGTATATACCCAAGAACACCATAGGCCCAGTGGATGATGATGGTTAGTAAACGCCTTTTTTCCAAAATACTGACAATTTTTTAATAATTTTTTACTAATTGAAACCCAAGAATATCCAAAACGTATGACCAAGTGGGCCTGTCCCTCTTATGACCCTACTTTGAGTTTTTTTTAGCCAAATCAGTTTTCTCAGATCTTCAAGGAACATGGATTGGTGCAAGATGGAGCACATAATCATAAAACAACAACAAACATCAACAAACACGTTTAAAGTAAGCATCACACTTTGTTTCAATGTGTTTCACACTACGTATGTTTCTTTTTGTTCCAGCACCTTCTCACCACCTTCTTTTTTCACCGTGGACACGGATCGAAACCGGGGACCGCACCTGCTCCCATCGCCGGGCCAGGAGGAACTCCTCACAGGGTCTCTCTCTCGTCTTTGAGTGGTCATGGGAGGGCTTCGAGTCATAGGGGCACCCGGATCGCGCCCGGATGGAGGACTGGAAGATCTTGGAAGCATGAACGGAGACGCCGAAAAAGGGCACGGGCCTGTGTGTTCACAGAGTTTTGCCTGGCGTTCCTACCAAACCAACGATTGATTATGACGGGGTGGTACCCCCACCCCCCAGATCAAACATGCAAAAATAAACTGAACCTGATCTGAACATGCACCTCACCGGAGTTGAAACGGTTTCCCACAAACTGAGGGTGATTCTTGGGAGTGTCCCGGGGCCAGCGTTTCGCACGACCTTGACCTTGCGCAGAGAAATTGCATTTGGAGATCTCAGAACGAAACTTCTCTGCGAGCGTGTGTAGCCAAAACGCACGCGCTCAGAGAGCGTACCCTGATCGAACCCGGGCTTTTACACTTCCGGAAAAAAACAAGGGCGCGCAGCAAACAAGCGCCAAACGGCAACCCGAAAGCGAATCCAAAGAGCTGTTGCGAGAGATATCACCGCCAGCATGGTGAGGAGAGTGACTATGGTGAGCGCGTAGTCCTGGTTCACAACTCTTCACGTGATCGAGCGAGAATCTCTGGGTTCTTTGCTCACCACCTCGCTCTTCCCGTGCAGAAGACGGTTAGCAGCTCGCGCGGGTTTTTGCGCAAAGGCCCATTCGGCAATGCCACAAAGTCGGCATAAGTCCTCAATCAGGGCCGACATCACCTTTCGCATAGGTGAGCTCTTCATGAACGGCAACCGCCTTTTCAAACCAGAAAACATCTTTCTCCACTTCGTGCCACACAGCCTCGAATACGATGAGGTGTCGACCAACCACTTTCCTCTTCGGAGTTGTAGTTCGTTCAGTTTCGCGCTGCAGTTTCTCCTTCTTGGCCTTCTCTTCCTCAATGTCTTGCCTCGTTGGGGCTGCCTTAAACTCCTCACTGTACTTGACCTGGACAGTTGGAACTAATTTGACCTTCCTCTCAGCTTCACCACCTTGTGAAGAAGACTTCCCAAAGCCTCCTCTGCAGCAGCCTGACGATGCTGTAGATCGGCTGTGCTCAACTACTCAGCACATGGCGCAAGCTGAGATTCGAGACTACGAATGTTATTCAAAACATCAGAAATCATCCGTTTCATCTTGGCGTGTTCCGCAAGAGACCCCAAAAAGTGTGTTTGAGGTCTAGGTGTAACAGCAGAAAGTCCAGAGATCTAGACGCATTGGCGTCCAAAGAGGTGGTGATGGTGGTGGATGGGGGCTCGCAAGCTGGGAAAAAGTCCGCGAAATCTACTGCGCCTGCCACGAAATTTGCACTTCAAGGTCCACAAAGAGCTGCACGATATTTGCACTTCAAGGTCCACGAGGTACTGCACCTGCCACGAAATCTACACTTCAAGGTCCACAAAGTACTGCGCCTGCCACGAATTCTACACTTCAAGGTCCACAAAGCCTGCACGAAATTTGCACGCACCTGCAACTCAAGGTCCACAAAAAAATACTACGCCGGCCACGAAACCTGCACTTCAAGGCCCACAAAGTACTGCGCCTGCCACAATGTCTGCACTTCAATGTCCACAAATTGTTGCACCTGCCACGAAAGCTGCACTTCAAGGCCACGAAGCACTGCGCCTGCCACAAAATACGCACTTCAAGGTCCACAAAGTATTGTACCTGCCACCAAACCTGAAAACGAGACACATGGTGACACATGTCCATAGAAAGAAACGATTCATTGCGCCTGCCACGAAATCAGAGCATGCCGAAGACCACCACCACGTCCAAAGTACGGCGCCTGCCACAAAATTGGTAGATCTCCTGCGCCTGTCACGAAAAGTCGACTTGAGCACCAAAACACGAGGTTTCCCTTGTGCCTGCCACGAAAAGTGATCACCAAGTCCAAAAATGCGCACGGCGCCACAGCGAGAGTGCACACAGTTGCGCCTTGAATTCCGCAGAGGCTTGCCTACAGGCGCTCGCCATGTCTTGAGGAAAGAGCAAGGACATGCTTGCACTGCGCCATGATCCAGGTCTTTCACTGGCCAAGAGTCTGTGTTAGCAAAGAGTGTAAATGGACGAAAACGGTGCACATGAAAAACAAGTACAAACCTGTATGCCCAAACGGAGACCCCAGGGAGCTTGGCATGCATCAGCAGCATGCATCACGAACTGTGTCACTTCTTCCGTGTCCCACGTGGCAGAACATCCGAACACCCCGAACAACAACGGGCACGTGCAAATCCAGGACGGGGGGGGGTGAATGGTAGACAACCGCATGTTTTCGCTCACTTGTCGGACTTGATCTTGATTTTTAGACTGGTGCAACTGGCTGGCTCCAAGCACCGTCTTGAGCAGTGAGAGCACAAACACAGCATGGGACTCATCATGCTGTGCTTCAGATTGTGGCGCCATCGACCCCGAAGGATCTGATTTTCAGCCCATGCTGAGTACATAAAGCTCACCAATACCAGCGTCTGATAAGGTAATCATGAGCGTGAAAAAGGCACTAACATGGTCAGAAACCAGGAATCCCTGTAGTAGATGGTTTTCAGACACAGCTCAGATTTTCGACCTGAACAAAAGTCCCCATCAACCATCCCTTAGGGGGCCCTGCTATGCAGTACTTATTTTTTGCCAAGTACAACTCCAGCACGTGTCTTATTTAGTAAAACTTCCAGAGGTGGCGGCCCAAGAACCCAGAAACACCTCTCTTGGAAGATCCGATTCATAGTTTTATTGAGACAAACAGTCGCAAGTCGTAAGATCGTGCAGCATCAGGTATCAGGCTTCTACTCCGGTTTGTCAAAATTCGAGCGACATGGCATGGCGGTGGCTGCGGTTACGCTGGTTACGCTGATTATGCTGGCCGCGGCTGCGCTGGTTGCGCTGATTACACCAGCAATGCAAAATTGTCACTACAGCAGCCATGAGTATCCTTCCCTAACACTACGCTCTCTACATCTCTCCACTAACCAACTGCTATAAGTCGTGCTTTGGGATAAACATACACCAATAAATACTAAGCAATGGATATCCCTCTCTAAAGACCAATGCCTCCTACTTATCCCAAACATCTCCCTACCTAAGCAACTGCCATCATATCCCACTCCCTGGAAATAACATGAAAGTGGACAATGGCACCATGGAAGACCATGTTCCGAATACCAAGTTCAGGATGTTTTTTTCCACTTCCATGTGAGTTCCAGGGAGAGTTGCTGGTCGTGGTGTTTTCATTGGTTCCTCGCCACCAGTTCGGGTGGTTTGCTCCTCCGCCTCCAGCAGCCATTGCTGGGCCATCCCATCCGAGCAGCACAGCACCCGCAGCAGAAAGTGCGAGGCCGCATCCAGCGCCACATCGAAGAGCCTTGTTGAAGAAAGGGTTCGAGGGAAAGTCTACAACGTTCGAAACCCGCTTTGAGATGTGTTGAGGGTGAAAAAACAGCGGGTTTTTCAACATGTACCCGGGCCTCCGCGGTCTATCTTGGTGGTGAGCAAAGCGGTCAAGCACACGCGGAAGGCGGATGAGGTGAAGGTTTTCACGGAATCAATGACCTAAGAAAGGATGTTGAGTTACTTCTACAAGAACAAGAATCTGATAAAACTATCCGTTCCACTGCTGGATTCTAATCAAAGTAATTATATTATGTTGACTCACCGTTCCACGCTGGTTTCTGTCAGCCATGGTCTGAAGGGCTCGAGCCTTGACCTTTTGATGTGTTTTTTGGTTTGGCGGGGTCTGATGTGCATCCATGTGGCGTCCGAGTTGGCGTCTCAACGCATGGATGGTGACCAATTAAGCAGATCAGTCGAAGCTCAGAGCTAGAATCGGGTCCCTGGGTGTCTATTAAAATAGGTACCTCTGACCTCAGAGGTAGAAGCTCGAAGCTCAGAGCTAGAGTCGAAGCTCAGACCTCAGAGTTCGACCCCATTAGGCTACCGGGAGTCTCCAGGATTGACACTGAGTCCTACCGCGCCAAGTTTGGCGGATTGTCTGGAAGCTGGAAGGGTCAGCTGGAGGGGGTCGCAGCCCCACGACTTTGCTAAGCAAGACGGGAGCTTCAAAAAGCATCTTTTTCTGCGTCGGTACATTTGTCCAGGTGGTGCAGGATGGGTTTATATATATATATATATATATATTGAGCGTACTATTGAGCGTCTGTCTTTTCGAGTGCGTCTTTTCACGTTACTCATGAGGCGAGGAGCAGTTGCTGCTGGCAAGAATGCTCTTCACCTATTCTGACCTGGCAAACTTGGACAGATTGGGAATTGGCGAAGAGTCTTGCGCATCTGCTGAGCCACAGGTGTGGGGGCTCCAGGCTTCTTAGAAAGAGAACATACAATCCATCTAATCATAAGCTATTGTAAACCACCTGTTCTTGGCTTTGGGCCATCTACTCTGAACCTGAGAAGTTCTCGACATGCATCGGGTGACTCACTTTCAAAGCTTCAGCCCAACCGCGCCCTGATCCTCAGTGAGAAGTGACTGGTTAAAAAAAGAACAGTGCAGGAACTCCTTACTACTAAGAGCAAGGAAACCCTTAGGGGCTCCTGGCCTTACTACTAGGAACAAGAAGCTAGGGGCTCCTGGCATCGCTACTAGCTCAAATGTGTTCAGCTGATCCAAAAGCCCAAACAGAACGGTCAGCTGGCCGGTCAGAACGGTTCCATGTCGTCATTGCCAAGGCTGAAGAGCTCTGGTGGTGAAGGCCCTCTCTTTGGTCAGTTGCATGTCAGAAGCAATTTCCCAGAAACTCCACGTATGACCTAATTTACCTACATAAATGGGTGGTTGACCCCGGGTGAATGGGGCGGCATCTGTTCCAGTCCCATGGAGTGTCTTGGTGGATGATGTGAATTAAACGGTGGGCTGGCATGACTCATCCACCTTCTCCTATTCTGTGATTGCCAAAGCTCCTTGCAACCAGGGCCGGGCAAAGCTCCTCCATCCGTCCTTTCAAACATATTGAATGGCAGCAAGAAACGGACTCCGTGCAGGATCCTGGTTCAACCAGCATCCACATTTGGCCCGGCCCCCTCACCGCACTCCTTCCCCTCGGCCCCTTGGCGTGCCTTGTTCAGAAGCTCCAGCCGGGCGAAGCCCAACTCCTGCGCGGTCTCGAGTCCGAAACCGCCGCACAGGTGGAACGAATGGTTTGTCACTGAAAAGCCATGCCTGGCAAGATCTAAGAGTTCAAAGAACTTGGTATGTTTGACTTGGAACGAGCTGAACTTGGAGTAGATTGGAGCTTGATGCCTCTAAATCGGATTCGAGGGCCAAGGTTTCTCAGAGCCAAGGAAGAGAAGAGGCAATTCCATTTACCAGTGGCCCGAACACTCCATGTATGCCATTTCTCAGACACTCTATATGTATGACCTAGTTTACCTACATCAATGGATGGTTAACCCGGGGTCAATGCATGCATATATATATATATATATTCCAGTCCCATGGAGTGTCTTGGGATTGATTTTGAGTACTTTCGTCGGATCAACCGGGGAACAGTTCTGAAAATCCCTTGCAGGTTATTGAAAAGAGCCTGATCGAAAGACTGCGGGCCATCTCACTCTTAGTCCAGAATGTCGTAAGCTTCCAGAATTGACCATAATCCTCGAACTGATCAACGATTCTCTGAAGAACCTAGCAGCTCCAATGTTCCATCAACAAATAGCTCCACAGAACTGATGTACGTAGTTTAGGTCAAGAAAATGCACGGGTCTTAGCGCCCAATGCACGGGAAAGCGTGGTTCCATTTGTGGACCCCTCCCTGAACAGGAAACTCGGGGTGACAAGAGTTGGAGCCTCCCAGGTCCCTGGGCTGTCTCATAGGAACATGTTTGGAGCCTGTTAGGCCCTTGGAGCCTCCTCCAGGGTGACAACTCATGGCATACAGTTCTCCTGGGCCTAAGGGACCCATGAACTGGGCTGTCTTCGACCAACCTATCTCTATACCTAGGGCGTTAGCGGCCCCACGCGTTAGCGGCTGCGAATCTTCACAACGCGTGGGTGGAGATCACGACTCTCAACACGTAGAGTTGGTTGAGTCATAGAGGGTTGAAAAAGAAGGAAGAGTTGTTTTCCCAACATTTGGGTACTTATCAGGAGCCAACTCTTCTTCCTCAGCTTCATGGCTTGGTTTAGCCTTTCTTAAGGGGCTGACAAGCCACCAGCGTTCGTGAATTTAGGCAGTTATTTAGGCAATGGCTTGAAGCTCTTTTGGACAAGCACCTGAGAAAGAAAACGACTTGAACAACCAGGTTTCAGGTTCCAAAACAGTAGGTCCTGGAAGAGATCCAAATGGAACCAGAAAACCTCTGGGTTGTAGAGGAGCATCGTTTTGGAAGAGGCCCATGCCAGCAGGTTCCATGTGTGTCTATTCCCGGGTAGACCCGTGCATTGCTGGGGAGTCCGTGCCGGTCTAGTTCGACCTTGGAGCCTTGCGGGTCGTTTTCATCATCGGAGAGAATCTGTGGCAACAGGTCTTCACTCTTCTGTCGCAACAGGTCTTCACGATCATGTCCACTCTGAGTCACCACTCCAAGGAAGTGGACCATGGTCCATTGGAGGGCTACTTTCCTTTATATATATACGCACGCGATCACTTTCCACTTCCATGTGAATCAGTTCAGAGTAAATCTCAAAGCAATCTCAAGGTCACAATGTCTCTGCTTCAACCATCTTCAACCTCCTCAGCTCGGCTTCTTTGCCCGAGCTGTTGGTCAAACAGTTGGACGCGTGACGCGTTACGTCAAGGCCCAAGGCCCGGCTTCGAACGAACCAACCCAACTCATCCAACGGAAGGTGTCTTTTTGGCCCAAGACGGCTATCTCACGCTTCATCTCGGAGGCCAATGTTCGGAACCTCCAGAAAAGGAACTGATCCTTTCACCTACAGGTCGATGCCAAGTCCATGCATGCACAGGGTCAATTCCTTTGAACCGCAGGTGCTCCTTCAAGTTCAAATGAACCAAACTCTTCGCAAAGTCTGCCAGTCTGGATCTAGCTAGACTTAGATGCTTGAGACGTACCATGGAAGCTCGCCACCACTCGATTTCTCACGCGCGTCCAGGCTCTGATCCGGATTTTGAGTAGTCATTCCACAACGGGAAGTAGCAGGTTTCAGCTGCCCTTCCCTTCTTCCAATTGTGTTTAATCTAGTTCAATCAGCATGGAAACTTGCCCTGAATAACTTACTAGTAATTCCCGGATATTGGCGGTATATTCATCCTATACGTCAAGACACACCATGCATCTATGGTCAGTAGAAAAAAAATACAAATAAACCTCCCAAGCCTTTGGTCGCCTGGAGGATCTGCTCCGGCAAGACCTCTTGAGGTGCTTCCAGGTACCTGAGACCAGTCATCTCAAAAACTGCCGGCTTTGAGGGTATACGGGGGCAATCATGGGTTATCCTACATGACTGTTTCTGAGAAAAAACGGATGCCTCCAATCGTCGGCATGTTTCTTTCCGATGCCAATAAGACAAGTTAGAAAGATGGCAAGCTATCGGTATCTTCCCCTAAAAGTATGGCAAATTCGACGAACAGCATCCATGAGCTGCCCAAGACGGATCGGATTTCTCCGATTTGTTATACCAAAAAGGACCATGCCAAGCTCGCCCATCCGGGACGAGGGACACAGGGACCCGTCCGAAGACCTGCCGAAGAAGGCGCCCGGTGGCACATGGGGTCCAGAGCACAGGGAAAGAAGCGATGGGGTGTTTGGTGTTGTTGGCTATCAAAACTAAATTCATTTTGCCCTCCAAGGGGTGCCCAATGGAAGCCTATAGGTAGTGTGGGGTAGTCCATTGGACACCCCTTGGAGGGTCCAGGTATGTATATGTATATGATTACTGCATAGCTGAGATGTCAGAAAAAGGGAAAAAACAACCGTGCATATACAACAATAAATGAGATACGAGTATTACTACTCGACAAAGCAGCTACGAGTAGTTTGTTCTTGACAACAGTTTGGTTGGCTCAACTCCTTCATCTCCAATGGCCACGGCTTCGGAAGAAGGGGATTCGTCTACAGGAAGGCGATTGCATGGGTGGTGTTTCTATGTTATGTTCATTGCATTCTATCTTCATTACGTTTCTGGTTGCTTGGGTTTGATCATGTTTGATTGCAAGACGACAAGCGAAGGAGGACAAGCCTGTGGCAGGTCTGCATGCATGTCATCTTCAGCCAACGACCTTTGAGACTTCAAAATAAGACCTTTGAGACCTTTGTGCCAGCATTTGAGAAGGGGAGGTGGCCGAAACAAGGATCTCCTCTGCAAAGAATGACCAGAACATCCCAGACCTGGACCAGAACTGCCAGCTAGGCTTGCCTTTGCTTGCTATATTTTCAATTAAAGTCTCCAGGTGAAGTAACATGACTTCACCCCGCCCCTTCACCTTTCTCCAATTCCACTGAAGCCATGGTTCCATGATGTTCCATGTGAAAAACTCATGAAGTCCCTATCCACCGACCACGGGTTCAACGGCACCGACCACGTCCGTGGCACGACCGAACCTGCTCCGTGGCCAGCAGCTCCGAAAGCGGCGCTTGCAGCAAGCGGCTGTCCATGGCCGGCGGTCGATGCGAATGGATTGCAGGGCATGCACGAACGCTTTTTGTTTGCTTGTTTTCATTTGTTTCTAAGCATCCTAGATTTGGGATTGACGTGAATCTCAGATTGGGGCAGGTTTGGGCTGTTCTCTCAGTTTGGGTGCTTTCTTGTAGGTGGGGGCAACTGTAAATAGTATATATAGAACATGTTAAGGGGAATCAATCACTGATCTATGGAGCTGGCGTTCTTTCACCCGTCACACCGTTCTTCTTTTTGTCCGGGGTCATCACCCCAGAGTCACACTTTTTGAGGGGGTGACTTTCATTTTCGTGGTGCAAGTCGCTGTTGATTTTTGGCGCTGTCATGCGGCCAAAGTGGTGTCCTCCCCCTTCCTGATTTGTCCTCAGCATCGGCCAGGCAGCACAGGTTGCCATTGATCAATGGGAGGTGATGAAAAATACTAGAATTTCAGACTACAATTGATTGGAACCCTAAGTTTCCCTAAAAATCTAGGAATCAAATGATTGAAGCGCTTCTTCAAGGAAGCTTTCCCCTGCCCTGAGGCCGGGGGTGCTTCCGTGAAGAAGCGTGAGCTATCCTGCGTCCAGTAGCTAGGAGCTTTCAGTAGCTAGGAGCTTACTCCCTTGGCGCCTACTTAATTAAGTAGGGGGGCAGAGCGGGCCAAAAGAACATGCTTTGAAAACACACACAACCACAACGAAAACCGTCATCTCTGCGGAGCTTCCAAAAATCCCCACATCTGGCACGCCATCAACGAATTGATGGACGATGGTGGTTGGTGGTCCAACGACATCACGACTCATCACGACATCCGAAAGGCGACACGCCCAGGCTTTTGGCCGGTGATCAGGATCATTTGGCAGAAAGACTGAGATCATGGGCTGCCATGTACGACCCGAACTCATGGGATGGCTTGGGATCGTGGTTGATCCAAAGACTTGATCCAGTTGACATAAGCCCGTCTCATGAACAGCATCGAGATGGCTCCATCATAAGGAAGCTGCCAACACCGTCTTGACACAGAGGATATGGTCGTTGTAGGATGAGATCTCAACTTCTATTTTTGCAGCACCATACCGCATGAGAAAATCCCATTCTTCCGAATCAATCCAGGCCCTTCGCACCATTTCTTCGTTTGAGACGAGGTTTCCATGGAGGGCATTTTGCCAGCAGCTGTGCAGCCGCATGACTTCCAGTTCCTGGCTCAGCATCCTGAAGCTTCAGGAACGTGTATGAATCAGATTTATTTATTGTATAATAATTATGTATTATACACATACTTGCACCACAGAGTCCAAAACATATATTATATAATACATATAGTACTGTACTAGTACACAGATATATGATATATATATATATATATCATATCCCTTACATAGCCAATGTCGTACATTAAATTTCGGAGTCTTCTGTGAAACAACAGCCCCAATAGACCGACACACGCAAGCTGTCAATCGGAAACATGACAATATGGAACAGCTCAAACATGCTCTAACAGTAACATATATGCGTACTGTACACATTGGTGTTGAAGAGTTGTATTCATGGAATCTACCAGCTTCTTCGATGTGCCCTCCAATACTCAAAAATAATATTTCAAATGCCAATGTTGTCTAAGACTACATTAACATATAAACAACCCCCACTGTCAGTGTATATGTTCACACCCAGCAACGAGAATACACAACGCCCATGTGGGATGCTTATTATCTGTTCTTCACATCTGGAGGTCTCCAAATGTGCTAATACCAAATCTCAAGTCATGGCAGCGGCTTCCTTCGAATCCACCGGAAGGAAACATCACATCTCGAGGGAGGTCCTTCTCCAGTGAGCTGACCTGCACTCAGCTCATGCCGAAGACCAAGCGCTGCAATTGATACCTCCGTCGAAAAGGAACAACCCCGAGCCATAGAAAGGGTGCTCTGAAGGTGGTACAGTATTGAAAGTTATTTACAGCTAGATTAGATCTTCATGTCATCTACACATGTACATGCACTTTCAATCGGACAGAACGGTTCAGGGACCTCTCAAAAGGATGAAAGCCGCGGTTCCAAAAGGGAGTGGAGCAGCCGCCATATCTTCTCTACTTCTTGGCACTTGGAACCGAGCAAACCCGTCTTGAGCAACACATGCTGAGTGTCAGAAACATGCTTCTGAAGAGCAACACAGGTGTTTTCTTGGATGGCGCAAATATGCACCGATGAAATCATGATTCCCAGGAAGTGGATGGCATGTTCTCTGGAAATACCCATGAACTCCAAATACCAAACAATAGCATATTCATGGTTTTTCCGCTTCCATCTTAGTTCAGAGGGCGGAGTTCTTCACCACTTCCACGTCCACCCGGCTCACACGCCCACGCTGCAGAAGTAGCCCACGCCCGCCCAAAGGCCCACATTCCGGAAGTACCTGGCTCCGGCTGGAGAGGTGGAGCCAGGAGAGAAGTCCGGAGCGAAAGGAAGGTCCGGCGCGTCCGGCGGGCACAACAGTGGAGGAGCCTCCTTGAACCCGCCTGTTGCACAGATGGACCTGTCTGTGAGAAGATGAACCCACCAAAAAGAAAAGTGCGGTTTTACAATAGATCATCTTAGGTCAAAAGGCAAATGGGGTCCCAACTGAGGTTGAAGAATCGACTATCCCAGTTGACTATCCCATCGCGACGGATCCTTTTTTAAAGTCTATATTATAACCTCTCTTGGTCTTGGGTCTTGGGTGAAAATTCCCACATCTCCCGCATGTTCTGCTTCCTCAAAAAAAACCTTGCGCATGGGTCCTGGGTCAATGAAACAACCTTGGTGCCATGAATCAACGCTGTTCTTTGCAAGACAGATGTGCCGGGCTGGGAAGTGGCCGGTTCCCACTGTTACCATGACCATTCGATCACCCCATTGAACCCAAGATTCTGGTTCCCACGTCGGTCTCCGGTTCCCACGTCGTCCCCCACCACGTCCCGGGTGCCAAAGGAAGCCCACGTGCTCCATGCTCATGAGCGTGACCCCGGCGATGCTGCCAATCGCCAGGATGGACCTGGACACTCGAGGCCGGTCGGCACGTCTGAGAGGAGCCGCGTTCGTAGCGTCCGATCGCTCCGTTCGTAGCGATGCCAGGAGCCCCGTTCGTAGCGTCCTTGGTGACTACTCTGTAAGACTAAAAAGACCTGGTCACCTGGTAGAAGCATGTACAATGTACAAGTACGTAGAAACACTCTGCAAACAAAACAACAAACTACTTACGCAATAAACAAATACAATCAAATACAAATTAGCCAAGAAGAACACAAAAAACAGCAAAATATGCAGCAACGGACTCATTAACATGGAAGTGGAAAATGGTCCCTTTAAGGACTACTTTCCTTCACGAACAGGGGGTTTTCCACTTCCATGTTAGTCAGTCGGAGTGTAGGAACCCTAGTTGTCTGATTCTCTATTCCGTCTGTTTGGAACGGGCCCAACCCGCGGACTCCACGCAGGGCCCACACCCGCCGGTGCCCGCAGACAGGGCCACCAGCTGCCACAAGGGGTCGTCCGTGGGCGTCTGGCGCGGTTCGATGAGAGGCGGGGGGCCTCCGGGGGGTCTGGCGCGGTTCGTCATTCTCCATTCAACCATCATGGATATCATGGATGGCATGGCCGAAAGACCATGAGAGTCTCATATCCAAACAACATACAAACAGGAGGGGTTATATCCACTTCCTTGTTTCTTGTAGGCAGGACTACCAGGAAACCCTCACTGGTCTGCACCGTCCAGTGACGTTTCGGCTTGCGGTACCTGCAAACACGCAGTGCTTGCCACGCAGCCACTTGACACCCAGGAAGAGACTCACATAAAACCTGAAAATAGGCCTTTGGAAAACGATTTTCCTCTACAGGTTCCATGTGGGGGCTCTTCCAGGGCGTGCTATTTTTCTTGGGTTGAGACGCGTTTTCTGTGTTTTGGGCGGCCAGTTGGAAGCAAAGCAAGTTATTACTACAGTAAGTCAATCAAAGTGAGTATGCTGTTTGTGGTGCTGATCGGCAGGAACATGCCACGAGATTGCATATCCTAGGCTCCACGCACCTCCTAGGCTCAGGTATTTGGACCCTCTAAACCCACCCCAAACACCTTCTCAAAGGTACTTGGAGCCCAGGGATACTGTTTCCATGTGCGAGTCTTTCGCAGTGGTTCTTGCTCCGTCTCAAGGCTGGCCTCCAGACTGATCCGCGAGACAGCTGGGATACCTCTCAGACTGATCCACAGTGATGGAATACACGCATGATTTGAGTGTTAGACCCATATCCAAACGATCGGTGGTTTCAGTCTCCTCATTCGACAAACCCCATCCTGATCCTTCCCCACCTCACGGAACATGTCGATGGATGCCTGGCAAGCGATCGGGAAGATGAAGATGAGGGTAAACAAGCACGGGGTACTACCAGCTATATAACTTTGGTCTTCTATCCTATTCCCAGTAACAGTGGATGATGGTGATTGGGTTGCAGGCCATGTTACAAAAATGTGACAATTGTTTGCTGACTGTACAGGTAATAGGACCCCAAAAATCACTTTCACACTTGCTGAGGTCTGTGACCACAAGCTCTACCACCTAACCCTGTGGTAGAAAGTAAACAGAATCCATGATCTTCCCTCGACTTATTTTGGAGCTGCCTCGGCTACTGTTTGTTACGCAAAACCAATGGTCTCATCAAACAGCATCGATGTGCCCAAACTCCGGCAGAGGTTCACGCGATGCTTAAGCTCTTCTGGATGGATGAAGCACCTCAAGTTAGTGGAACCATATATAGCGACCCCTCATTGATCCCCCAAAACCTGAATTAGGTACATCACCATACATGCTTGGGACGTTGAAGAAGACATTAGAGAGGAATCACTTGGATGAACATGGATGAACTGGGTTTTCTTTGCTTTCAAGAAAGCACAGCGAGGAGCTGTTCACAAAGCTTGTGGCATCCCAAAGAGTGAGCTTCAAGCCAGAATGAGCGTCTTGTACTCCCCTGCAGATCAACATGGAACCCCAAAACCACTGGGATGTAGATGAAAATGGTCTTCCACAGGTCATTCTCAGGGTTCATGTTAGTCTTATATAAGAAGTGAAACACTTCTCACCGTATCATGATGCTGTGCCATTACCTCATCACCTTTGCTCTGTTGATTGATCCAAAAAGAACCTGCACCATGGTCCGGTGGACCATGGAAACACTGCACCTGCACCTCTTTCCATATGAATCCAGATTTCCGATTGTTCCCATCAGGATCAACTAAATCACTGTTCTCTTCTCCCGGATTTGGATGCTTGTTCGCCCCCAACTGTTGCTGCCTCCACCAATGGCACATTGTCCACAATGGCAGAAGACAAGCCTTGGGGTCTGCGTCTTGATCTCACGAAAAGGGTGTTCGATCTAAATGGCCATTCAGCTTGATCGCCTGGAAGATTCATATATCATTTTATATAACCCAGGCACTCCATGTATGCCATATATGCCTACATTGGGGTGGGTTTGGGGGTCAATGTAGGCATATATGGCATACATATGCATACATGGAGTGTCTGGGTAAGGGATTAACTCCCCTCATTGAACCAAGGGTCATTGCCATGGTACCCATGGTTTGTATGTTGTTAGTCGTCCACCCCAGATCGGGGAGATCGGGGTTCGCCGCTGGGGTGGAAGGCGTTCCTCGCAGGCAGAACACCGTGAAAGAACACCTATTGTAGGAAAGGCCATCCAAATGAGTCTATCGTCGCCATGTTTGTTCACAGGGAAATTCTGGTATATGTGTTCTTTAAAGTGTAGAGAACCTTTATGAATCTTTACCAGTTTTTCAATGTTTGAGCAGCTATCCCAACGAAGTACTTGAACGTACTTCAACCACGAACCACAACACATGAACATGAAAACATTGCCAATGTGAAACATTGGTATCGACATGTATCGAAGCAATGCTGTATACTACCGCAATCTACTGCACATCATGCATAGCATTCAGCTGCCACTCTGATGTTCTTCGATTGTCCATCTCCACGGCAGGTCTCCCCGTCCGCTGCCCACGTCTCTTCTGCCCACGTCGATTCTCTACCCGCGGTCACGCCCGAAACGCGGCGCGTGGCGTTTCTTTCAGACTCCGAGTAGCCCAAGAGGAGCGAAAGCCTCACGGCGCTGTGCTTGCAAAGCTCGTTGATCCAGGTGGCGTACCTGGAGACCAGCCGACCCAAACGACAGACTGGCGACGGACAAGGAAAAACAGCCGTCTGCCTTGTTGGTCCTTAGAGCCTATAGCTGTTCGGACGGTGATTGTACGACATTGTCTACGCTGACAAAGGGAGGAATGGACCGGAAGAAAGTCGGACCATTCTTGCCCATGGACAAAGTCTGAATTTTGAGAGTGGTTTCCGAAAGTTTATCCTGCAATTTCGCCGCAACATAACGCAGAGATCATCAGTGACCCTAGTTGAACCGAGAGCTGTGAGCAGTGGATCCTGGACCGGGATGTTGCTGAGGTAATCACTTTGAACAACCTGGCAGGTCGCCCATGTGGAGAATGGAAAAAATCACACCTTCCAACAAAAATCCCACCTTCTCAGGTAGTCTTCAGTAGATCCACCTTAAAAAGAACAACGATTACATCATCAGCTGGTGCTAAACAATTACGTGTTTGGAGACTCCAGACCTTCTCAGAACATAGGTTGCGTGGTTTCATAGGGAGACCTCCCTGGCGACCCCCCGGAAGACCGAAGGGAACGACCCAAAACCAACCCAAACCCCTTGGGGGTCCCGGGGGTCGTTCACACGCACTGTTCACAGGGCATGTCATATACCTGGCCCCGGATGATGATGGTTGGGTACCAGGTCGACAGTTCAAACATTGTGATTTATTTATCCAATAGGGATAACCTCCTGTTTGTCCAATTGTGGATAAAACAAAGTTCAATCAATTTTTTTATTAAACGACTTTATGGTCATCCACGACCACCTCGATCTTGGTGTTTCTGAGAACTCGGAAGGGGCCCATTCGAGTATTCCAGGGTCATGTGAGCTAGATCCACCACTACGTGACATGTGACTTGCGAACACAACTGAGACAGTCGGGGCAAAAGAAACAAGTGTCGGAACATGTTCAGAAAAGATACAATAAGTCAGTGAGCTCAATCATCCCAAGTCGTTCGGTTGCAAGGAAAGCACCACGTGGCCAAGCTGTTCGGTCACAAAATCATGAGAAGCCTCACTGAACAAAAGGTTGAAACATGTTGAAAGTTGAAACTCAACATCTCTAGAGAACCATCATCTCTGAAACGACGGTCCATTTTCAGCTCATATGCTCTGCATGACGTCGTGCGGAACCGCGACCGGTGTCGTTGGCAACCCCCGCTGGGCGGGTCCTGGTGCAGAGGGGACGGAGGAGCACCGATGGAGGACGGAGGTTGGAGTGGATTCAGTTAGACGCTGGAGTCGACCTGTTCGTACCTGGGAAAATGGGTGCCAAATGGTACAAGTACCTGTCTTTGCCGGGTCATGTTCTTTTTTCTAAGGGACGTTGGAGGGTCCAGGGACATGTCTGGAAGCTTTTAGTTCACCGCACACAGATGTTGTTGTCGCCATCCACCAATCCATGTGGAATATCGCAGTTCATGGTAGCTGCAAGTCCCAGTGCCGATGTCCCAATGTAATTATGATCTCACAAATAGTCATGATATTAATCGTTAATGTAATATGTCACTCTGTCATTCAGTTTACTAGTTACAATTATTACACTCATCGTGTAACTTTTGTCAGGATGAGTTGTTTCAAAGGACACTGACCGAGAAACCTCGGCGGCCCAGAACTGGGACCATGCACATGACCCGGTTGGACGGATCACCCTGGACGGATCACCAAGGTATGTGATTGGCTCTGGACCCGTTCTGACTGAGTCTGACAGTAGGGAATAATGGGTCCTGCCTTACCATGAGTGGATTCACAGGGTGGGCAACACCCTTTTTGCGTCCACATATACGTTCTAATGGCAGCCTTTCCTTCAACACCATCAACAATCAGTAGCTGTGTCTCCACTTCCATTCCAGGGTGTATACACATTGACGTATAACTTGCACACTGAAACGAAGGGCCCCAAAGCCGACCGCCGCTGGGCCCCGGTCAGCTCCGTCTGCCGTGACGCGACGGAGTTTAGGCCTCAGGTCGTGCGCTGAACCGGTCGATGCCGTGGCGCGATGTCGAGTGATCCGCCGCTGGAATGAAGTGAGCGGGTCGGGGGGGGCCAGCCATGGTGAGATTGATGGACGTTTTGTGTGGAGGTCAAATGTAACTTCCTAGGGCTCCATGTACTTTCTGAGGTTTTGGGACCCTCTAAGGACCCGTAGACAGTAGCAGGGATCGGACCAGACACCTTCGCAGGGGTCCGGACATTTCATTTAAGGGCCCGGATTCTTAGGCATATGGATACATCATGGATGACATGAAAAGCCATGTCCTGTGCAAAAAATATACAAAGAACAGGGCCATGTTACATTGATCTGGATTGAAGTCTGGTGGGCTCTGCTGAAAGGAGGATCTGTAATGACTGTAATGACCTCAAATGAAGGATATTCGGTTCTGGGCGCCAGTCAGATTGGGACCAATCGGGAGGGTTCGACTGCTAGCACTCGCGGCTCAAAACCAAGAGGTCCGCTGGCTGCTGGCTACAAGATCAATGGAGTGCCAAAACGGTTACCGGTTGTATACTGACCAATTCCTGGCTGCGAACCGCTGCGAACCTTCCTCTGACACTACCAACAGACCGTGACTTCGCCTGCCAAGCCTCCATGAGGCTGGCCTTGAGGCCGGGCGCTTTCGCCAGGCTTCTTTCACATGCCAACTGCAAACAACTCCAGAAACGGCTCCGGAAGTTTCTATGGGTTCCCATTGCAGGCTCCCCCAAGAACAGGGTTCCAGAGAACAGGGTTCCCATTTTTCGGCTGAACTGAAGAACTCATCCCAATAACCCGATCGCTCGCATTCGGGAACAACACGTCAGATCCCACCTGACGTTTGGCCGCGGACTCCTGACCGAAATGGGTTTTCCAAAACGCTTGGGTTTTCAACAACATCACAGAAAAACTGTCAACCAATGAGGAACCTATGACTTTATGGGCCTATGATGGCCTATGACTTTACCATGCTAAAACCATAAACACCACCAGGTTGGCCTGGTTTAATTAATCACATCTCCCCCAACTCCCTATAACTCACTTTGCAATACGTGGTTCGCAGAAACATGCAGAAGCGACCTTCAGCCTAGTGTATCGGCTGGCTTTCGTAATATTTATATATCCCAATTAGTCCCCAGAGTCTTGTCCTGAGAAATTTTGGGCCCTTCAGTGCCCTTCTGAGGTGACATGGAGATGGATCCATCCAGGGCGCTCTTCTGGGTCATCAACAGCCAAGCCCCACCATCAGTCCTCTTGCTCCTCTCTGGGCCGCTTTTCACCTGCCAGTTGCAGAACAGCCGACTGCCTGCCAACCCCAAAGAACATGAGCGGTCATGAGAGTGGCCCCAAAATAGAGATTTAGCCTTACTAGGACTTTCTGGGGATTCCATATTCACTCATATGCTGCTAGAGTCAAGAGCCAACCGCATCATGGTTCCAATACCCGTCCAAAAGCCGTCCAAGGTGAGGGAAGCACATGTTTCAGTAGATCCGAACCTCCAAGTATCCATTAAACAACGGACGCACAACTTTTTTAATTGGTTTTATTGTTTTTCTTGCTGGATCATGTCAGAGTCAAATATCTGCATTAAGCATCATTAAGCCCTTTTCAAGCACCAAGCGCTAATCCAGGTAAATAGGTACGGAGTCAATGAGTTTTGTTTGGGGAATGAGTCGAAGTCGGGATGGAGAAGCAAAACATCTTCCAAAGCATCACCCAGCGTTCCTCCCTGACCCGCCTTGAGTCAATAGTGCGGCCCCCGCAAACCTGGGGAAGAAGAGTACGCTCTGCCTACTGTTGAGGTGTCTTTTTCGTTTTGTGCGACTTGCGGACTCAACGGCCTGGTTGGCTGGAATGGAATGGGTATGTAATGGGGCAACAGCATCGTTTCCACTTAGTACTGTAGCATCCGTGTGTTGATTCGACTCAATTCAGCGAAACCCAACTCGTTCCATGTGAAAGCGAGTCATAAGCCCATGCCAACCTCTGCCAAAAAGGCCCAAAGAGAGATTTGGTGCTCAAGGTGCTGATCTCTTAAACCAGCCGACCTTGGACATGGATAACCCATGACAACGGTGCCATCTGTATGCCATCCGACCTGCCGGATGGACGGAGCCTTTTTGGGGCGGCCGCTGGCAGCCGGTCAAGGGCCACATTGTGTGTTCTTCTCCGGGAAGGTGGAAAAACACATCGGTCGAGGTACAGGTGACCTGAAAAAGATGGCACAAGCACCTCGTGATGGGAGAAGCAATTTCTGTCCCAACATAGTCAGACTGGGAATTCCACACCATCTATACTAAAACACTCCCCATGGAGACCGTACATTGATCCCTCTTCAACCATGTAGGCAAAATATGCCAGCTCCATGGATTGCTGGGTATGTTGGGGTATTCATGTCGTTTGTCATCTTTGGCAAGCACAGCTGGCCAACAGTATCCACCATCGGTGCCAACTTCTTCAATGCCAACCTCCAAAAATGGATTTCGAGAGTCCATCTCAACCACATTCTGATCCTGGAGGCCCATAAGCTCGGAAGGACTCAACTCGTGCGCCTGCGATCCCTTTCGATCTGCCGATCTAGCTGCGATCTGCGCCCAGCCACCGTGAGGGATCGTAATCCTCTGGCACGCCCACCGCACCTGCTCACCGGCAGATGTAAAGAATGCGAGCTGAATGCTCGACAGTGGCAGATTTGTCACTTGAAAACACCTCAAACAAAACGCTGCAAATGTTTTACCATAGACATAGAGACCCATTTTCACCAATCAGTGACCACCAACATTTTGGACATGGCCCTGCCGTGTTGAAGACAAGTAACATGCTCTTCTAAGGGCCCATCTTCTAAGTTGTTCCACTTTCATAATCGTTGGATAGATGCTTTTCGCAGAATAACTGGCTCGACAGCACCCAGCAAATGATTAAAATGGGCTCTATGACATTGCACCCATGCAGCTCGTTGGACACGTTGGCCTCACCCCCCCCAGGACACGTCCATGACGGCACTTCCGCCA